TAAGTGAAATAAAGGTATTGTGTCCAATTACAACTAAAAAATAAATATTTTTTTAAAAAAGAACACAAACAACAATAATTGTTGGCAAGGATGTGAGAAAAAAGGCACATTCACACATTGCTGGTGGAAATTGGTGCAGCCAATATGGAAAGCAGTATGGAGATTCCTTGGAAAGCTGGGAAGGAACCACCACTTGACCCAGCTATCCCACTCCTTGGTCTATACCCAAAGGACTTAAAAACAGCAATATTACAGTGACTCGGCCACATCAATATTTATAGCAGCACAATTTACAATAGCTAAACTGTGAAACCAACCTAGATGCCCTTCAGTAGATGGATGGATAAAGAAACTGTAGTTAAAAAAAAAAAGAAAAAAGAAACTGTATACACAATGGAATATTACTCAGCAATAAGAGGGAATAAAATCATGGCATTGCAGGTAAATGGATATAATGCTAAGTGAAGTGAACCAATCCCAAAAAAGCAAATGCCGAATGTTTTCTCTGATCTAAGGAGGCTGATCCATAATGGGGTTGGGAGAGGGAGTATGGGAAGATTAGACAAACTCTAGATAGGGCAAAGAGGTGGGAGGGAAAGAGAGTGGGTATGGGGTAAAAAAGATGGAATGAGATGGATATCATTACTTTAAGTACATGTATGAAGACACAAATGGTGTAAATATACTTTGTATACAACCAGAGATATGAAAAATTGTACTCTATATGTGTAATATGAATTGTAATGCATTCTGCTGTCATATTAGAAATTAGAATAAAAAATAAATTAATTAATTAAAAGGACTGGGATAAGGCTCTCTTGGGTTCGATCTCCAGTACCAGAAAGAAAGAAAGAACATTTAACAAGTAATTTCAAGCTGAATGTATAAATAGCAAGATAATTTTTTGAGCCATTGTTTTTTTCTCTCTTTTTATTTCCCTCCATCAGTGAAGATGCAGGCTCTGTTTCCTTTCCTTAAAGTTAATTTCAGGATGGAAAGCAATAGTCACCTGCAAGACAATGGTTTTCCTGGTATCCTGGCTTGCAAATAATCCCCATGTCCCAAGAGCAGCATGGGAGAACAGTAGGCATCTCTGTGGCCATCAAGGTTATCGGGCCTCAGATGAATGGAACTGCTTTCTCATTCCTAGACCCTAGAATCTTGGCATGGGGTTGGGGCAGCAAAAATAACTGAGACCCAGCTTTTCATAAAGGATACAGATTAATTTATAGAAGAAATTAAATAATATTTCTTGTATATCTGAGTTTATATAATGTGATTTATATCCACATTCTAAAACAGAAAGTACCAAGCACTTGGGAAGATAGAGCAGAAGACTTTAACCTAGTGTTAAAAGTGCTTTAGGTACCTTTTCTATACTTGCTCATTCTCTCATTTAAGAAATATTTACTTGACTACGACATGTCAGGCACACTTTTAAGTCCTGAAGATAGAACAATGAATAAAATAAAGAATATATAATCCTATATATAATATAAAAACCCTATTATATATGTATAAAAATAACTGAGTGACTTGAGCAGATGCTTGAAGAAAATGAGAAGTTTGCCATGAAGATGGCAGAGGGGAAAACATTCTAAATAGCAGATACAAAGGCCTAAAGTGGGAGCAAGTTTGCAATGTTTAAGGAAGCGCAAAATCATTGACCTTGTAGCTGTGAGGACCCAGGGAAAAGAGATCATAGAAAAAGTCAAAAGGGCCAGATCATGTAGGGCTTTGGAGATCACTCTGAAGATTCTAGATTTTACCCAGAGTGATATCTTCATATCACTATTTAAAGGTTTTAGATAAAGTAGTAGCATGATTCCACTTACGTTAAAAGGATCACTGAACCAGGCACAGTGGTAGATGCCTGTAATCCCAGCATCTTGGGAATCTAAGGCAGGAGGACCCCAAGTTCAAAACAGCCTCAGCAAAAAGCGAGGTGCTAAGCAACTCGGTGAGACCCTGTCTCTAAATAAAATACAAAATGGGGCTTGGGATGTGGCTCAGTAGTCGAATGCCCCTCAGTTCAATTCCCAATATTTAAAAAAAAAAAAAACATACAACTGCGCTGTGGAAAACTGGATGCCAGGGGCAAAGACAGAAATAGACTAGTTAAGAGGCTCACTATAAAAGATTGTGGTTGCTTGGATCAGAGTGATAACACTGAAGGTAATGAGAAACAATTACTTTCTGGATAGATTCTGCTGGCATACTTTTAAAGCCAATATGATTTGTCATTGGCTTGGATATGAGTTACAACAGCAAAAGAGAAGGTGTGGCTGACTTCAAGATTTTCATGGGTCTAATTGATTCTGGGAAGATACAAGAGATTTCCTGTTTAGAACAATATGAAAGAAAAAGCAGTGGATATTTATCAAATCAGGACAACGGCCACTTCTACTATCTTGACTAGAATTAACCCGATGGAGTCAGGGGATCTCTTTAGGATGTTAGAGATCATAAATACTCTTGAAGCTGTGGAGCTGACAGAACTCTCCAGAGATCCACTACCTTTGATTTCTGCTTCCTCGCAAAGTTGCCTCTCTCTCACCACAGGTCAATACTTGTGGGGATCTTTGGAGGCAGAATTTCTTTTGTTTCCTAAGAACCTTGTTTCCGTTTCTTCACACTTTCACTATTGAAAGTTTCTCTAAATATAATCAAATTATTAATTATTATCCTTTTTTCACAAGTTTAATGGAAAAGACCAGTTGGTCATTTACCCATCTTCAAACAAGTAATCCAAACCTTCCTCATAGGTCTTTTTTATTTTCTTTTACTCACTCTGGGTGTTGGGGATATTTCTCTTTAACATTGCCTTGTCTTTCCACATTTACATCTGTTTGTTAAAGTGCAGGGCCATTAGTTGGAAATACCACCCAGGTCAAGATATGACCCGTGTAATATGGCAGAATTCATAGAATGTGTATCAAATGGACTCAACGATGCTTTTTGGGGGAATTGGGTCCTGGTCAAATTTATTAAACCTAGATCTTCAGGCTAATCTATCCTGCTGAGCTTTTCCAATCATGGAAATAAAGATTTGTCACTTTATCAATGTCATCAACCAATACTGGTTAAGCATTCTTAACATTTCAAGAATTGCATTCAGTTTTAGATAACTTTACATATTCTTGATACATGAGAAGGGTATTATGGAAGTTTTTGTTTTGTTTTGGAGAATAATCCTTTGGGTTAAGAACAAAAACATGTAATTTTAAGTCAGTTTTGAGATGTTACATTACAGAAGAAAAGAAGTAAGTCCAACTAGGCCATTATCAGAATAAGGAAGCCACGTGTATATTGGTAATTTCTCCAGAAAAACAGGAAGGATGTTCACAGACACCACCAGGTACTCCTGTTCCTTACTTCTCATTCTCCAGTGCTCAGTCTTACTTGGCCCCAAACTATCCCCCCACTTGCTTATCTTTTTTTGGAAATGACATGAGTTCAAAATGAAAATTAAAATTCAATTATGTCCTGCAAATTCCAAAAACACATGTGACAATGATAGTGGCATAAACTTATTGAGCATGAATTTTGAGCCAGATTTATTTACTCTTCAATGCAACAACTCTGTGAGGCAGCAACTATTTTATAAGGCTGCTCTAGAATTCAACCACAGAATACCAGACTTCAGAGGCCAACACTTTACCCCTATATTTTGCTACATAATATTATATTACAGCTGACCTATAAGTGACAGGGATATTTTATTCGGATCAACATTTAAGTCAACAATTTAAATAATAAAAGCAGAGTACCACAAAAGGTGAAACTTAAGTGTGGCAGTGTAAATCAAAATGAAAGGGGAAAATACGAACCAAAGGGAAGGTGAACCTGAAAAGGAGAATAGAGAGGAACATATCTACACAGCTGTCATACATACCTCCTCAAGTCTCCTTCCCAAGATTCAAATTATAAAGAAGTTTGCTTTATTAGAATCAATTTTAAATGACCCCAATACAAACAGGACATTTAACTCTCCAGCTGATATAGTTTCCTATATTTTATCTGATAATTTTCATATTTGGTTTCTTGCAATTACACCGTAGTTTAAAAGTAAGGCTCACACTTACCCTCCACAGGGTTTTTGCGTTTGGATTTACCACATGCTAGGAAGTGTACTGAGCTACATTCGGGCCCCCTGCCTAGGTTTAAACCTAGTGTTCACCTAACAAGTTCTGTCATCTTGAGCCCATTTAACCATTTGCAGTCTGAATTTCTTCAATCGTGCTTTATACGATTTGGGAAACTAAATGAGGTAGAAATATGAAAGTTCTTGGCACGGTGTCTGTCACATGGATATTCTCAATGTTAGCTTAGTAAAAGGATCAGTTTATTTCGAACAAAACCTAATAAATGTGGGGGGAAAAAAGCTTACTAACTAGACTTCATATTTATTAATTGTTAATTTTTGGGGGGTGTTGAGGAGTGGATACTGGGTATTGGATCCTGGGTATGGTAGGGGTGTTTTACCACTGACCTACATCACCAGGACTTTTTATTTTTATTTTGAGACAGGGTCTCACTAAGTTGCTAAGGCTGGTCTCGAACTTGTGATCCTCCTGACTCCACATCCCAAGTAGCGGGCATCACATGAGTGCCCTGCCGAACCCAGCTCAACTATTAATTATCTAATAATTATTAATTTTGATTATCCTTGGCGGCCTAAATCTGATTTTTCTCATTATGTCTTTTTATTTCATATTTTCCCCTTTCCACTACCGGGAAACAACCCAAACGCAGAAGTCTCCAGGCAGGAAAACAAGAAATACATCAAGAAAGAGTCTTCAGCAGTCTAAGGCCTGCCCCCACTCCGCCCCCTTGATTTCCGGTCCTCCAGCAGATTATGTCTGAACTGCAGCCCAGGTGGTCCCGCCTACGTAGGATTCCTCCTCGAGGAGATTTACATATAGACTTCTCATTGGCTACTAGTAAGTAGTCACCCTTCTCATTGGTTGATACTGTCTCGCGCGAAGTCCGCGGAGCATGCTCACCGGGACGTTGGGCGTGAGGGTCACCGGCACCTACAGTTCCGTTTCCGTTTTTCCTCCAGAGCCATGGCTACCGTAACGACACTGAGGTTCCTATTGACAGTAGACAGATGGCGCCGCAGCCGTGCAGTAATTTTTCAGTTCCGAGTAAGTACCTACTTCCTTTGTTCTTGGAGAGACTGGGTTTCCAGAGACAGCTCCGGTTGAAGAAGGAAAGCTCTCGGCAGCCCCTTCCTTTTAGTAAGCGTGTAAGCGCCTGCCAATTTCATTTCTGGCAATCAGCTTTTCTTTCCCGGCCTGCAGACGCTCGCCGTCCTCGTGCCCGGTGTGACCCAGATAGATAACAAGTCCGATTTTCTGGGGAAAAAGCCCCATCGTAAGCACCCCGGCATCCTACAGCTTCCGTACGTGCGGCTGCCGCAGGCGCTGACTAACGCCGCCCGGGTACTACTGGCTGGTGAGTATCTGCGTGAATGAAGGTCTGAAGAGAAAAGCCACTAGGTCTGCACGTGTGTGATTCCGCTTTTCATATTTGGCCCACAGAGAGCTCAATGTCCAATGTCGAGAAGGAGGTGCATGCACTGACCAGTTATCTCTGGAGCCGACATTTGCCTGTAGAGCCAGAGGAGTTGCAAAGACGGGCAATACATCTTGAGAAAAAATTCTCGGAAAACCAAGGTAGGGTTTAAGAATAATTAACGAGTAAGCCAGATTGAAATATTAGTGGAAAAATGAAGAGCAAGGAATAATTTCACAGCTTTTCAAAAAGACGCTGAAGTTTGTTTCGATTTTTCCTTTATCCAGGGGTGCTTTACTGCTAAGCTACATCCCCAGCCCTTTTATTTTTTATTTCTCGCCAAATTGCTGAGTGTTGTCCTGAACTGCTAAAACTGGCCTCAAGCTTGATGATCCTCCTGCCTCAGTCTCCTGAGTCTCTGAGATTACAGGAGTATGCCACTGCTCCTGGCTTACATGCTTTCTTTTTGGCAAACCATTCCTTATGATGATGCCTTACTAGAAGGTAGATTAATCCAGTGTTTACCCGGGGAGTTTGAATAAAGGTTAAAAAATCCAGATCTTTGGGATTTTGGGTTTTGTCGCCCACCCACCCACCGAAGTCCAGTGGATTAGGATCTTCAACTTTTTTTATTCAGTTGAAATAAAGTCCCTGTATGGCTCCCTGTTCAATACTGAAACCTTCAGGAATAAGAATAATAAGTATAATTCAAATTATTTTCATGATTGTGAACTTTTTGGGTATTACAGACCTGCCTTTTTTTTTTATTTTGTTGTACCTGGTTTAGAGTAGGCATTCAATAGATACTTGTTAAATCATAAACTGAGAACAGTTGTGAGACTTAGATTTTTCAAGCACTTTTCCTCCCCATGGGAACATTGGAGATATCACAATCTTAAGTTTTCAGAAAATGAGGAAATCCACAAAATATCATCCTTATCCTATCCTTTTTTGTTTGTTTGTTTTAGTTGTAGAGAGACAAATGCCTTTACCTTTTTCAGGGGTGGGTACCAGGGATTGATCTCAGAGGTACTCGACCACTGAGCCACATCCCCAACCCTATTTTGTATTATTTTATTTAGAGACAGGATCTCACAGAGCTGCTTAGCACTCACCATTGCTGAGGGTGGCTTTGAACTTGTAATCCTCCTCTTTCAGCCTCCCAAGATGCTGGGATTACAGGCATGTGCCACCACACCTAGCTTACTTTATTTATTTTTATGTGGTGCTACGGATCAAACCCAGTACCTCACATGTGCTAGGCAAACGCTCTACCACTGAGATACAACCCCAGCCCCTCTTTAAGTTTTTAATACACTTCTCTTTAATGTAAAATAAAACATTTTGGATAGCATTGGTTCAGTTGAATAAACTGCTGTTAGTGGCAGAATACTATTTAATACACACTGATGTTGGTAGTCTTTATTGTTACTGTTACCTGGAGTTTCTCTCTAGGTTTGACTTCTCTCGTGAGCTTTGAAGGCTTTTGTCAGGTGGGGAATAAAGGAGGATTGAGTGGGCATTTTATTCAAATATTGGATCTGATCCCTGTTCTCCCTAGGTCCTCACTTCCAGTCCTTGTTCTCACCGCAGACTTACCTCAGACAGAGGAGAAACTTCGTGAAGCAGTACTACATGTCCTACGCAAAACTACTTACCACTGGCAAGAACTGAGGTAAGGAAGGGCCAAAAAGGGTGCAAAAGAAAGAAATGTTGAACTTGAAAAGAGGTGGAGGACTGCATTTATACAGTCAATTGGTGTTTGAGAAAGCTACCTGAACCTTTCTATATTTGGAAGTAAAAGGACTGAACTGGAAGGGACAATTCCAGAGATTTCATTTCCTTAAAATATAATAGATAACCAGAGAATTCAGATCATTTCCCAGTAAGTGTGACTCTGGTTTTTGTTTTGTTTTGTTTTTTGTTTTATTTTGTTTTGTTTTGTGTGGTGTTGGGGATTGAACCCAGGGCCTTGTGCATGCGAGGCAAGCACTCTACCAACTGAGCTATGTCCCCAGCCCTGACTCTGATTTTTGTGACAGCTACAATGAGGAACTGAGTCTGGTGTATATGGCAGCAAGACTGGATGGTGGCTTTGCAGCAGTCTCCAGGGCATTCCATGAGGTGAAAGTCCCTCAACTTCCAAACTGAACCCTTTTACTATCAGCTCCCACATTCATAAAGTAGTCTTGTAGAGTAGAGATTCTTGGGACATTATATATGCTTTTGTTACGGGGGAGGTACCAGGTATTGAACTATGGCACTCAACCACTAAGCCACACCCCCAGCCCTTTTTAAAATTATATTTATTAGAGAGAGGGTCTCACTGAGTTGCTTATTACTTTACTTTTGCTGAGGCTGGCTTTGAACTTGCAATACTCCTGCCTCAGCCTCCCAACCACTGTGATTACAGGCATGTGCCACCATGCCCGACTTATATATACATTTTTTAATAGAGGTCTTATTTATCCTCTGGAAGGATTCTGTGACCCAAGAAAAATTTAGCATCATTGTTTTAGGAGCTTTCTATTCTCTAAAGTATTTATATTGAATTTAAAACACATTCACATCTCTCTATCATAGTCTCTTAATGCGTATTTTCTAAAACTCTCGAGTCTCTACTACTCTTCTTTGGGCTTATATATTCCTTCAGATCAGGATTCGGATTCCAGAGTTCAAGCCACAAACCTTGATGGACTTTGGTTCTGGTACTGGTTCTGTCACCTGGTAAGTAACTTTCTTTAGCCCTGTCTTTGTCAGTTTTATATTTGATAGCCATATTTGTATGCTTCATTATCAAGAGACTGGGAAACCAAATGAAGAACAGGAAATTTTCAAAACTAGAATGTTTCTTCCCTTAGAGTAGGCCAAGCAGAAGAAGGTATATAGATTGGAGATAGAACTTAAATGTGAAGTGAAAAAAGACAATATATAGAAGGTTTTAAAAGGAAAGTTATTAGTATACGGAATGGGTTTTACATATCAGTCAAAAAATTTTTTATTTTTTGCCAACAAATAAATATTTAAATCTGCCCTTTACTCTCCCATTTTCTTTTCTTACGGTGCTTTATAGCTATACATAATGGTGGGATTTATTACATATTTTTACACACACAATATAACAGTATTATTTGGCCCAGTATCACTTCCAACACTTCCCTGCTCCCTCCCCTTGAATCTGCCCTTCTTTTCGGGAGTTATACATGAAATAAGAAAATAACTTATAGTTTTTCCAACTACTTAACATAACCCTGTTTACCCAAGGGTGGGATTGGAAGTAGATGGATCTCTTGAGGGGATGACTCTTTTTCATGAAAATTGTTGAGTTTTGTTTTACCATCTCAGGGCTGCTCACAATACTTGGGGCCAGAGCCTTCGAGAGTATATGTGTGTGGACAGATCAGCTGCCATGTTGGATTTGGCAGAAAAGCTACTGAAAGGTGAGAATAAGCTTTAAGGTAGGACTTTTCCACAGTTGGGGCGGAGGCGGTTAAGGAAGCAAAGGACTAGTAGAAAGAGTATTTTACTGGGAAGTAGAGAGGAGGACTAAGAGTTAACATGAATCTGGTCTCTTTCCAATATTATAGTCAAGCAGAAGGTATCAGAGAACTTTGCAGGATTGTGGTTAGATGGTAAAGTTAGCAGGTGAGGGGAACTCACGATTTACCTACCCTTTTTAATATTTACTTAACATATTGCATCTCAGTCTCACCTAGTGTTTTTCTTTATCCTTGGGGCCGTGTTTCTTCTCTGGATATCTCTTCAGTTTATACCTGTGGCTGTAAATTCATATACATTCTTAGTTCCACATCTCCTGTTTCTTTCACAGGTGGTTCACAAACAGGAGAGCCTTATGTTCCAGGTGTCTTTTTCAGACAGTTTCTACCTGTGTCACCCAAGGCAAGTAGCAGTGTTTAGGGTATTCTAAATATGGAATGTGGCAGATAGAAAATTGTGGCCTCAGTCTTGCCATCCAGTATTGAATATTAGAATACAAAAGAAGGAGTAGAAGAAATATAGGGGCTAGAAGTTCTTGTATTCTTAGAATTGGGAAATGTCAGGTCTGTCGTGTTCCTTGTCTTGGTCCTCAGGTACAATTTGACGTGGTCGTATCAGCCTTTGCCCTAAGTGAACTGCCTAGCAAAGCTGACCGAACTGAGGTGGTTCAAACTTTGTGGCGTAAGACAAGCCATTTTCTGGTAAGTTGAAATCCCCTTTCTCCTGATTTCATGCCTTCCTTCTCTCATTGTCTTTATTCTTTTTTTTTTTTTTTTTTTGTCTTTATTCTTGAACATTTCTCCCCTTTATAGATTTCTGTGTCCCTCTTTTAGGTCTCATCCCCATCTTTTGTATAATGCCCAGTTCCTTTTAGACCCTTACTCCCTCTTGAGTGCTATTGATGTTTATTTATGCTTTCATGTGATTCAGGGCTTCTGCTTATTTTCCCATTTGGTGAACAGGTATTGTTGGAGAATGGAACGAAAGCTGGCCACCGCCTTCTTATGGATGCCAGGGACCTGGTTCTTAAGGTAAAGTTCTTTGCCCTTCCTTTCGCATTCCCAGCTGTCACCAATTATTGTTACTTCCTTGAAAACTAAAGAGACTCTGTTGGGGGCTGGGATTGTGGCTCAGAGTGAGAGCACTCGCCTTGCACATGTGAGGCACTGGGTTCGATCCTCAGCACCACATAAAAATAAAGATTTTTTTTAAAAAAAGCCAATGGAAACCTTTAAAAAAAAGAGACTCTGTCGCCTGTTGATAAGGGTAACTCTCAGGAAATTAGACATAAAAAATCATTATGATATAGGACAGTGGTTGGCAGATGAAGGCCTGTTTTTTATGGCCCATACATATCCATGTCTGTATTGTCTGTGGCTGCTCACACTACAAATTGCAGAGTTGAGTAGTTGAGACAGAGGTAGATTTTGCCTGCTCTGGCCCTTTAAATAAAATTTCCCCACCCTAATCTAGAGCATTGCTGAGTCAAGAACCTTGTCTCTAGGGGAGAGTATGAGCCTCTGTGTAATCATAAATTTAATTGTCCTGAAGTAAGATTTTTTTTGAGAGTGGAGGTTGCTGACAAGGGAGAGCACCATAATGTGTGCCAAGTTCATGCCTTTCTACTGCTGCAGAGAAAGAGTTCTTTGGCACATTAGTGGTATAGCCAGCTTAACTCAAGAACTTAGTTGGTCATGATTAGAATTGAATGTTAAAGAGTCCACCAAGTGTAGAAATTGAAACATGAAAATAGGCCCTGCAATCCTAGCTTTATTTCTTTGATTTCAGGGAAAAGAGAAGTTACCTTCAGATCCTCGGCCTAGCTTTGTCTTTGCCCCCGTGAGTATATTACTTCTACCTGTTGCAGAACATAGATCTGAACTTAGAGTAACCCAGAAGAATAAGAGGCTAAAGCCAAGCCAAGCCACTCTCCCCACTATTTTGTGTCCATATCCACTTTCTTTTTTTGGTACCAGGAATTAAACCCAGGGACACTTAACCACCAACCCACATCCCCAGCCCTTTTTATTTTTTATTTTGAGACAGGGTCTGGCTAAGTTGCTTAGGGCCTCACTAAATTGTTGAAGTTGGTGTTGAACTTATGATCCCTTTTCCTCAGCCTCCAAAGTCTGTGGGATTATAGGCATGCACCACTGTGCCTGGCTCTCTATCCATTTTCTGCCAACTGATTCCCTTGATTCTCTCTACCCCCTTCTCTTGTGCTGCCTTCTCCCTTGTTGGCAACCCTAGCAGAGCAGATGCCTGCTTGAAGGTGTGAACCAACTGGGAAAATGGAAAGTCTGAAAGTAATCAATAAGGAACAGAAGATAGCAGATAGAAAATAGTTTTGAAAGCTGGGTGTCTGGTGGGTCGGTCTTCCAGCCCTGATAGGAACTAGAACTGAACAAGGAAAAAGGCCCAAATTGTTTAAGGGGAAATAAAGCAAATGGTTTCAGTGTGGCAGGCTTCTTGGGAAAACAGGATAAAGATGGGAACAACAATTTGTTTGGGGCTATGAGCTAAGGTAGGGTGTCAGCTTTAATCTGAGTAATCTGCAGCCAGTGGATTTCATACCAGGAATTCTCAGAAAAGCCACCCCTGCCTTGTGATGGCTCAAACAAACCCATAATTCATGTGCACCTTCCAACACCTGACCTGTCTTGACTTTATCATTCTTGAATTTTACAATTAATAGCTCTTTTATCTTTTTTGTCTTATGTCTTTATGTTCACAGTGTCCCCATGAACTTCCTTGTCCTCAGTTGACAGCCTCTCAGCCCCTGGCCTGTAGCTTCTCTCAGGCTTACCATCCAATCCCCTTCAGCTGGGTATGTATTCTGAGAATATTGCAACAGAGAGAAGATAGCCTGGGAAAACAGAAAAAAGAGTCAGAGGTGGGAAGTTTGAGAATCCATAGAATAGCCTGGAGATATTAGAGCCTGCATTATAGAATAAGAAAAAGGGACTTCAGGAATGTAGGGGGAGGGAAGACTAAAAGTTTTTCCTCTTATCTTTTTCCTCTAAACAGTCTGTATATTCTTATCTTAGAACAAGAAGCCAAAGGAGGAAAAGTTCTCCATGGTGATTCTTGCCCGGGGGTCTCCAGAGGAGGTTAATCGTTGGCCACGAATTACTCAACCTGTGCTTAAACGGCCTCGTCATGTGCATTGTCACCTGTGCTGTTCAGATGGACATATGCAGCATGCTGTCATCACAGCCCGCCGGCATGGCAGGTATAGGAGATGTGACCAAAATTAGTAAAATCTGGCAAAACCTGCAGCATACATTGACATCTCTTTCTATTCAATAGGGATTTGTATCGCTGTGCCCGTGTCAGCTCCTGGGGAGATCTTTTACCTGTGATCACTCCGTCTGAATTTCCTCTCTCCCCTGCTCAAGATCCCCCTGAGAATTCCATAAGAGTTGACAAGGATATGTAACAAATACTTTCTTCCATCATACCTGCCAAGGCTGAAGCTACGTGGTATCCAGTAAGAGAATGCCAGTACGCCTGCATTTCTGCATTTGTTTGAAGTTTTAATAATAATAAATTTTTAAAGAATGGTAGTGGGTTTTGTGATTCTTAAAAGAATAAGGGTCTATTGTCCTGACCTATCCTGTAATGTAGAGAATCCTGAGATTTTTCCATGCCAAGCTAGCACACAAATCTTAAGCTCACCATCCCCTGTAAGAATATTGCTGCTTCTGCTGAAAACCAGGAATTCCCAGGAAGATTATCTGAAATAGTGGGGAAAACCACCCTCAGCTCTCTGAGAACTGGCTCAACAGGTCTCAGGATAGTTATGTGGGCCACCTGAATAGGGGAATCAACAGCTACCTAACTTCATTTTTTTATATATCTCTTTCCCTTCCATCTTTCCCAGGGTCCATTAACTATCCCAGAGTTTGCCCCCACATTATCCTCAAGATTGATCCCTGTCAGTACTAAGTCTTGCATTTCTACCCCTGTGTACCCAGGCAGGATCCTTGTTTGATTCATTTCTGTTTTGTCCTAGGCCTTAGGGTTTTCATAGCTAGAACAACTTTATTCACCTTAAAACCTGAAAGTCCCTCTCCCACAGTTCATATAAAGAAACATTACCAAACCCAAAAAAAGATTTGTGTGCCCTATGCACAGAAGCCAACCAATCACTGAACACTAATGCTTGGAGTAGAGAAAATTTAATAGAAGGACTAACCAAAAAGGCAGGGATATACCTCAAATCTCCCTACCCCAGGAAGCATAATTATATAAGCAGGAGTCCAGTGGAGGAAACTGATTAAAATACAGGTTTTTCAGACTTGTTGACACTGTAGTAGACATCTGATCATTGATCTATCAAGGGGTCTGCAAATCAAACTTGTAAATTGCCCTGTGTGAAAAAAACAATAAAAGTGCTTATAGAAATGGCAACAGGAGCATGGGTCACCTTGACCAGAGGAAAGCAAAAAATGTGCTCTGCCTAGTTTTTTTGTTTGTTTGTTTGGTTCTGTTTTTCTTAACTTTAGGGAGGATAAATGGTTTGCTTTCTTAATGAGAAAAATAAGTTAATTTTGTTATGGAGACTTAGTTACAGAAACAGGCACAGTCAGAAGTCAGGGCAGTATCAGTGTTATAAAACTAGAAATGTCCACTCCCCACTAGACATTTCCATGCCTGAAGCTATTTTTCTGGAGTTACAGGAAAGGGGAGTCCCCTCACCTACCAGTTCCCACAGAATGCATAACAACAGCACTACCCCTCAGCCCCACCTCTCTGCCCCTGTGGCCCCAAATCCCCTCTGAAAGGGTTCTGGTTCAGATATCAACCTAGCAACTTAAAAAATTTGAGTTGAGGTGCAGAGGGTATGAAAGGCTTAGATCAAATATACTGAGTTAGGCAGGAGCAGAATGTCCCCAACACAAAATAGCTAGGAAGTAAGTACCATAGATTGCCCCGTTTGGGGCTAGAGCAACCCAAGGGATGAACTAAGTCTATCCAGAGTTCTTGGATTAGTCATGGCATTGAAGAGGAGGAGAAGACAGCACTGAGCTATGCTGGCAGGGAGTCCGGAGTTTCTGGTTTTGAAGCTCAGGAAAGCATGAGCCAGGGGAGGGGCCTCCACATAGTGGGAGGGCAGGTAGCTGGGGCAGGGCCCTAGCTAGCTAGGCAGAGCTGCGCAAGCAGAGTCAACCCAGAACGGAAAGAAAGCAACAGGCTCCTGAAACTCTAGCAAGTGGACACTCTCCAACTTTGACCACTAAGATACCACTCTTGCTCCATTTGCCATTCTGAGGCCTCTGCTTATCCTGCACCCCAGAGATGGAGTCACTCCTGGAAGTAAAAATTGGCTGCCTGTTTGCCCTGTTGGCTATCACTCTGACCTGTGGCCTTATTCCCATCTGCTTCAAGTGGTTCCAGATTGCTGAAGCTACAGGTATAACCCCACCCCATCTTTATCCCTTTACCTCTTACCTCAACCCTGTCCTATTCCTTGCTCTTGATTGTTTCACCATGCCCAAGCTCAGGACATTGGGTGCTGCCTGTTGCTCCTTAGTCATCTTTGTTTACCCCCTCATTGCCAACTTCATTGTCACTTCTTGGTTATTAGGTCGTCACCGCCGGGTCCTCAGCCTCCTGGGCTGCATTTCAGCTGGTGTCTTCCTGGGAGCGGGGTTCATGCATATGACTGCCGAAGCCCTGGAGGGAATTGAATCCGAAATCCAGAAGTTTGAAGTGCAGGTGAGCAGCTGAATGCCAAACTGCAGAGCTGCAAGGCAAGAATGACAACTAGCACCAAGAGAAGAAAGCAGGGAGAGTGATGGAGCCACGGGCATGAGTGGGACAGCAGGGAAGATAGTTCAATGTGGGGCATGATGAGAGCCCCTCAGACTGGGCTTTAAGGAAAGAGATATTGCTGAAGGGACAGGACAGGACACTGAACTGCTCCATCTCCCATCTAATTTCTGTTTCTTTCCCCCTAGAATAGGACAGAAATTAAGGGAAATTCCTCTGATGCTACTGATTCAGCTCTTGTAAGTAATCTCCCACCAGCCCCTATCTGGAGACTGAGGAGACCCAGAGAGTCCTTTACACCCAGACCCTTTAGAGAAGAATATATGAGGAATACCAGAAATCCCTTCTCCCCAGCTCAGTGTAGAGGAAAGGAGGAACCACCATAGTCTTCTTGTGCTTACAGAACACCAGGAAAAGCTCCTCTTGCTTTACTATTTACTGCCTTTCCAGGACCCTCCAACATACTTCATATTATCTTCCCATATTTCTAACTCTCTTGCTATTATGTCCCTGAGCCCCTCTGATATTCTCACTGTTGCATATCTACCCATGACTTCATCTCCATACCCTTATTTTACATTATAGAATTTTCCCATTCTCTTCAATCTCTGAATCCATGTCCATCCAATGAAGTGTCTTCCCTTCCCTTCCCTTCCTGTCTCACAGCCCTCTTTATGTCCCTAGGTGGAGTATCCCTATGGAGAGCTCATCATCTCCCTGGGTTTTTTCTCTGTCTTCCTTTTGGAGTCGCTGGCATTGCAGTGCTGTCCTGGGTCTGCTGAAGGATCAACAGTTCAGAAAGAGGAATGGGGTGGGACTCACATCTTTGGATTCCACAGCCATGAACCTCTGCCCTCACCCTCACGGGGTCCCCTTCGAGCCCTTGTCCTCTTGCTTTCACTCTCCTTTCATTCCGTGTTTGAAGGTCTAGCTGTGGGACTACAGCCAACAATTGTAGCTACCATACAGCTCTGTCTTGCTGTCTTGGCTCATAAGGGGCTTGTAGTTTTTGGCATAGGACTGCGTCTGGTGAAGATAGGCACTGGATCACGATGGGCCCTGTTCTCCATATTATTATTAGCTCTCATGTCCCCTTTGGGACTAGCCCTAGGGCTGACTGTGGCTGGAGGGGATCCTGAAGGGGGACAAGGCTTAGCCCAGGCTGTATTAGAGGGTGTGGCAGCTGGCACATTCCTATATGTTACCTTTCTGGAAATTCTGCCCCGGGAGCTAGCTGGTCCTGAGGCCCCTTTGACCAAGTGGAGCTGTGTAGCTGCTGGTTTTGCCTTCATGGCCTTTATTGCTTTATGGGCCTGAGAGATCTCTAATGGACCTACCTAGGAGGACCTCTCTACCCCAGTAGATACTTGCTATGACTGGCCCTCGGACTTTTTTTTACTGAGACTAAATTATATTCACTATGCATTCGTATGCACTGGACCTCAGCTTTTACCTACATAAGATCCCATTTCTCACTCAGAACTGAGAAAAGGAGGTTTAGGTTGAGTGCCTATGTTTGTTTGTTTGTTTTTCCCCTGTCATTACAATTTTATTCTTTAAGTTGAGTGCTTGTTGATTGGAGAATTGGTACAAAGATCATTACTCCAATTTTGATTCTTGTCACACTTATGCTACTGTGTGCAATAAAATGTCTTATTTGACCCTTCCCCTTCAGCCATATTGTATTTCATTTCTCCCAATTGCCTAGAAGCTGACTGGAATAGGAAGTGGTAGAATGGGGAATGGGAGGGATTTGTTTTAGATGCAATGTTTTCTTCTGGAATCAGAGCCTCTAGCCATTCTGTAAATTGCAGACCATGACTCTACACAGGGTAGCATTGCTGGGATTCCAACTGTCCCCTCCCACCTTACCCACAGGAGTCCAGAAAATGAGCCAGCACTCCCAGCATTTAGAAGGAAAGAAGTTTAAAAATAGAAGCCAGGGGTATTGATTATTTTCCTACACTACCTACCTCACCCCACTCCCAGTACCTACTATCAGCCACTATGTGCTCAGCAGACTCATGAGATCATCAGGCTAAATGGAGCTTGTTTCCTCCAAGTCCCTGTTTTTCACACAGCCCTATAAGGCTTCAGGGACACTAGTGGTGTTCTTTGAGCCTATTCTCTTCCGGCTGCTTCAAGCTGAGGGATTAAAAAGCAGTGTGTTTGGAGAGGTAAAAAGATACCAGATAAATACCTACAGTGATTAATTGGCTCCTGCATGACTTAGTGGCTTTCTTTCTACCTGCCCTATCATTTGTCCTTCAGTTTGAGTAATTCCTACAATGTGTTGCTTTCCTTAACAACTGCTAAGGACACAAATAAAAACAGGTTACCTGATACTGAGAAGGATGACTGTTGCCCAGCCTCCTACCAATGATAAGGAGGAGGCTTACTGGAGAAATGAGAAAAGAGAAGAGTTGCTGGTTTTACCTTCATGGCCTTTATTGCTTTATGGGCCTGAGAGATCTCTAATGGACCTACCTAGGAGGACCTCTCTACCCCAGTAGACACTTGCTATGACTTTGGGAACTAACTCACTCTCGCCAATTTGCCACTTCTCTGATTTTCAGTGTGGAAGCTCAAATAGCCTTAACATGACACGGACTCATTCTTTGCATCCTTTTCATCTTCTGCTCCCCACGAAGTAAGAAATACAATTATTTTGACCCTAATTTATACACCCAGGCATCACTGATAAGACAAGCTCCAGGCAAAAATAGATACATAATTGCCAGGCCTGGTGGCACATGCCTGTAGCCCCAGCAATTTAAGAGACTGAGTCAGGACGATCACAAATTGGAAGCCAGCCTCAGCAATTCAGCAAGACCCTTTCTCAAAATAAAAAGAATAGGGAGACTGTGGTTGTGGCTCAAGGGTAGAATGCTTGCCTAGCACGTGTGAGGCGCTGGGTATAATCCCCAGCATCACATAAAATAAAAAAACTAAATAGAGAAAATAAAGGTATTGTGTCCATCTAGAACTAAAAATATTTTTTAAAAAAGCAGGGAGGGGATGTGGCTCAGTGGTAGAGGGCCCCGGGGTTCAATCCCCAGAACAAAACAAAACATAATAAATGATAAATGGATGAATGGACTGATAGATATATAAAAAGAGTGGAAGAAAGATGATACATAGATATGTCTAATACAGGAAAAAAATTCCCTGAAGCATTATCCTGTTATGTCTTCTCTTCAGTATTAAATTCAGGAACATGGGGCTGGGGATGTGGCTCAAGCGGTAGCGTGCTCGCCTGGCATGCATGGGGCCCGGGTTCGATCCTTAGCACCACATACAAACAAGGATGTTGTGTCCACCAAAAACTAAAAAATAAATATTAAAATTCTCTCTCTCTTTAAAAAAAAATTCAGGAACATGTAATATACTTAGAACAGTGACTAGTGCATAATAATAATGATATAGTTTCTACATTGAACACCTGCTGCATGCCAGGCCCTGCGCTGTTGTCTTCACATACATTATTTCACTTTCACAAACCTGACAGGTAGATATTATCCCTGTAGGAAGTCTAGGAAAACTGACATTCAGAAAAGTTAAATAGTTTAATCACTTAGCTCTCTGGGCTTCAAAGCTCTGTTTCTATAATTCTAAGAAAATCTCAGACTGGGGTTATAGCTCAGATGGTAGAGTGCTTGCCTTGCATGCACAAGGCCCTGGGTTCAATCCCCAGCACCACAAAACAAGAAAAACTCAATATGTACATTCTCTTCTCCTACTTTACCTTACCTAACCTCCCATCCTATATGTTAGGATTGTAGAAGAAAGCAGATAGTTGCACACTGAATAATTGTTTATTCAAGTTTAATAAAGGGAGTATTGAGTAAGGGGTGGGCAGGATTTGAACAAAGCGAGAAATGATGTGGTAATACCCTGTAGCTGGGTATTGACAATGCTATTACCTAGGCTGAAGGAAAAGGAGGAGTTACCAGAAACTAAAGAGGAAACTAAAACTCAGTAAGAGCTGTGACCTTGATAGGCCCCAACAGGAGAGGCCAAGGAAATAATCTCACCAGCCTTCTATTCTTTGATCTGTGTCAGCATCTTACTGTGCAAACCCAAACCAGCCATAGTGCCTTGCAAACAAGTCAACCTCATAGGGCACAGAGCATAATAGAGAGATGCAGAGGTTCAAACGGGAGATTTTCTGTTGTGTTCAATTAAGTGATCTTGACTGGACTTCAGCAGGGATGAATTGAAAGGGATATGATTTTATGGAAGCTATTTCCAAGAAAGAGTATTCGCATGCCTACAGACATTAAACTGTTAGGACTCTTCTCCATGCTTCTGGTCACTGATGCTATCAGCGTTTGATGTAAATGAGGCAGAGTTTAGGATATTTCAAGCACAAGGGAGTCACACCCTTTTTGCCATCTTCCATCCCAAGATCCTTGGATTCTCCTTTAGCTTCCTCTGCATCCAGCCTCAATACTTTTTCTTCTCTTCAGATCTATTTCCTTTGCCCAAAATTCTCATCAATTGGGACCAGAGCCATCATTAGTATAAACTATATTGTATCAGGAACTGGAAAAAAGCTGGAGTATGGTTCCATATAGAGAGCACCAGGAAAAGAAAACAATCTTTTGATCATTTTCAAAAGACATGCATTTCCAGAAAGAATACAAAGAGGGCTATCAGGGAGCCAAAGATGAAGGAGACCAAATAAAGAAAGCTGAAATAAGAACAGGCATAAGAACTCGGGGATAGCTGAGACAGCTGGGCTATGGTGACTAGAAGCCAGATGCAGGAGTAATCTTTGATTCACTCAGCCTTAAGAGACAGGTTGTAACAGAAGATAACCAGAATAATAATAGAAGTTGAAAAATAAAAGTAGGAGGGGCCAGGTGCTTGAGCGCATGCCTGTAATCCCAGCAACTCAGGAGGCTGAGGCAGGAGGCACACAAGTTAGAGGCTCATGCTGGCAACTTTGCAAGACCCTATCTCAAAGTCAAATAAAAGGGCTGGGGTTATACTGCTCAGTGGCATATCACTCCTGGGTTCAATCTCCAGTACCAATATACACACGTGTGTATGTTAAAACATATATGATGTGTATGTTTAAATATATATTTAATACATGTAATATCTTTTATATATGAGGAACAATATGCAGACTGCAAAAAGGGATGAGGGAAGCTAGCTGGAATAATCAGGAGAGAATTTATGTGGGACAATGTTCACACCTCCTCTGTGTCACCCTTCCCCACCCCTCATTCTCTAGTCCCACATGTATATTTTTTAGACACTTAGGAAGAAAATAGTAAAATGAGGCATCCAACTACCCTTCCGGGAGGCAGCTTTCCATTCTGTCACCAGTTCATTGTTCTCTGAAGGATCCATTTGGAACTCCCTACCTTTTCTTTGCTTCAAACTGAGGGTTTGGTTTGGATATTGCCATGATGAGGTGACAATTCATGAAAAAGGAGAGATCAGAATAGATTCCAAGAGAAAACAAAGTTTAGGGGATATGGTAGAGCAGAGTGGAAAGTCAGTCAGAAATCAATATACAGGGACAAGAAATGTTCAAAAACAAAAAGCAGCTCCAAGCTAATTCCCATGAGACAATTTGTGCCACTTGGCCCCCTCCCTGAAGGATAATTTTGGAGTGTCTTGCTCCCCTCACTGGAGGAAGTAGTCCCTTGCTCCTGGCTCTGGCCTGATGGAGTATAAAGAACAGTTGCCAGAACACCAGTGGGTTGCTGTGTGTGAGTGTGGCAACCATCCAGACACTTTCACCTTCCCCCATGGACCTGAGCAGGGAGCCCATTGTCACTAGTAAAGGTGAAGCAAGAGGGGTACAGAGAGGGATTACACCCTACACACTAGTCTATGGGGATGCTTATAACATGCCAGTCACAGATTAATTTTCACAATTTTAATTGTATTCTGAGTTACTTTCTTTAGATGTGTTGGATGTCAAATACAGAATGCATTATATTTTTACTATATAATTATTCAATATGGGGGAAATTCTGCGGTTAGTAAAGAAAGAGAGTACAAATAATTACATGGCTCTGGACACCATTTACTCTCGCCACACCCATGGCCTCCAGTGAGAACTGATACTCATTTTCCAGTTAGTCCTAAAATCTCTCTAGAAAAATGGTGTCTCCCAGTCAATGTTTTCCCTAACCATTAGAGTACTCTCCAGTGTTTAACATCTATCCTTCACTGTTTTGAGTGCACGGTCCTACATTGCTTAATGACAGGACAGGTTCTGGGAAACGTTTCATGAGGTGATTTTGTCATTGTGTGAACATCACAGAGCATACTTACACAAACTTAGAAAGCCATATAGTGTCACTAGGCAATATAATCTTCTGGAACCATTGTAGTACATATGCTCACTTTTTTTTGGGGGGGGGTGTTGTCCCAGAGATTGAATCCAGGGAAACCTAAGCACTGAGCCACATCCCCAGCCATTTTTTATACTTTATTTTGAGACAGGGTCTTGCTAAGTTGCTTAGAGCCTAAGTTTCTAAGTCTGGCTTTAAATTTATGATCCTCCTGTCTCAGCCTCCCAAGATGCTGGAATTACAGGCATGCACCACTGCACTGGGCTCAAATGGTCCATTTTTTATCAAACCATTATTATATAGTTCATGGCTGTACCTTCAGAAACTTACCCTGGAAATTCTCTTTATGATATCCAGAATTTTCAGGCTAAGACCATAAATCTCTTTTTTCACTATATTCTTCTAGTTTTATTCTCATTCCCACTGAATGTTCTCTTAGCTCTCTTGAGTTGTAAAGTCTAGGAAGTACTCAGATTCCTTGAATTAAAAAGAGATAAACAGGAGTTCTAAGCCTGAAGCACAGGGGAAAATAGGGTGTTTGTGGTTCAGCTTCTATCAAGTTACAGAAGCAACTGTGTACATATATACACATACACACACCTACCAAGCCTCTCAGCTCTGATCTTTTTTTTTTTTTTTTTTTAGTTGTAGATGGTCACAATATCTTTTTCTTATTTATTTATTTTCATGTGTTGCTAAGGATCAAACCCAGTGCCTCATACTTGCAAGAAAGTACTCTGCCACTGAATCACAATCCCAACCTCTCAGCTCTGATCTTGAGAACAGATACAAGCAGCAGAATTTGGTATCAGGACCTCCTGATATAGCTACTGGGCAGAACTACAAGAAACAGTGGAGATGTAGGACAAGACAACTGAGGAAGGGACTTGAGAACTAGGCAAAGTTACTAAGAACCATGCCAGCCAGGCATGGTAGTGCATGCCTGTAATCCCAGCAACTTTGGAAACTGAGGCAGGAGGATCGCAAGTTCAAAGCCAGCCTTAGCAACTTCACAATGCCCTAAGCAACTTAGCAAGACCCTGTCTCAAAATAAAAAATAAAAAGGGTTGCTCAGTGGTTAAGTGCCCCCCCCCCAAAAAAAAACCCCGACCATGCCAAACACAGGGGGGCACTGTGTCTCCATGAGCTAGACTAGAAGTCTAGGACCAACAAAGCAGGGAGGTCAGTCAAGGACAGCAAATCCCCCTCTTTGTATCTGCTGGCAAGCATTTTTCCTTCTACTTCTTAGATTTCTTGGGCAGAAACATCTAGTAGAGTGATATAAACAGTGACCACCCATTTGATACACACACCTATATACCTATATACACTTCACACATACATATCTACACATAAACGTAATATACTCCCATTTCTGAAGTTTATCCGGCTAACACTGTTACTTGTGCAGATGAATATGCAGAAAACATCTGGCTTCCCTTCTTTAATGCCCAATAGCACCAATTACTAGTAAAGGCCAATGCTGCTGCAGTTCTTTGCCTTTTCCATGTTTTGCCTAGGAGTTAGTTGACCCTAATGATTCCAACCCTGCTGTTTTTCTTCAGTTTAGCATTTTAGCACTCTTAGCTGCCTGCCCTGGGCTCAAATGGTCCAAACAATAGTTATCTTCATAACTTGCCCTACTTCTAACCCTGGCTTACTATATTTAAAATGGACTCAAGGCCAGGCACAGTGTTGCACACCTGTAATCCCAGCAGTTTGGGAGGCTGAAGCAGGAGGATCACAAGTTCAAAGCCAGCCTAGTGAGGCCCTAAGCAACTCAGTATGACCCTGTGTCTAAATAAAATACCAAAAGGGCTGGGGATGTGGCTCAGTGGTCAGGCACCCCTGGCCTCAAACCCTGGTACCAAACAAAAAGGACTCAGGGCTGGGAGTTTAGCTCAGAGGTAGAGCATTTGCCTAGCATGTGCAAGACTCTGTGTTCAAAACCAGCAATGAAAGAAAAAAATCAAGGACATATCATGTCCCTATCAGTGTGTTATCACTAAACCAAGTTGCACCAATCAAATGATGAAAGTATATAATTGCCCATGGGGTTTCTATAAAGCAAACTCATATGATCTTGTAATATTCCATCCACAGTACTCCCGCCAAAAATGCTATAAAGTGCCTTCTCAGTTTTACTTGTGCTTCAAGAGCTCAAGAATCAGCCTTCAATAGCAGTAAGATATTTAAATTCCTGATGGTTGTTATTCACATTTGTTAAAAAGCTTCTTAGAGAATCACAAGTGTAGTCTAACTAGCTCCCAGATCCCTTGTATTCAAAGAAAGGTAGAGGAATTTCCAAGAGGAATGAATCCCCTTGTGACCCTCCCAAAAGTCTTCAGAATTGGATGAACTATGAACAGCCCAAGGCCTATAGTAACTTCATTAATCCTGTTCTACTGATTATATTGAACCATCTATAATGGACTCTGGGTGACCTGTACAAGGATCCTGCAGGAAGGTGTATTGCAAGGCATTCTCAGACAGTCAGCTTGCTTTTTTTTCCTCAAAGATCATGATTTTGGTGGCATCTCTGAAATTCTATTACCTTTGGTAATAATCCACAACTAACAAGGCAGTCTTCTGAGATCTAAGTAATTCCTCTCTCACAAACTTGATATTATAGGAAAAACAATACCATTCTACAGGAACTGGGGCCAGTTCCCATATAGTCATATTTTGTGAAGTATTTTTGTTACATAATCCCTCCCCCCATGATTTATGTTACTTTAAGAAGAGAATTTTAAGAGTTGGGCAAGAAGAGGATAGGAAAAGAGGCCTGATGCAGGATGTAGTCAGACCAAGAATAATAATGATGCTCAGATTTCTCTACAGTTTATTGTCACAGCAGAAGTTGTGGGAGACAGGAGGCCACCTTCCACGAATAACACAGTGTGGTCAGAGCCCCAGCATAGCCCTTCCCACCCCTCTGCCAAGCCCCAAGCATCCTGGCTCAAGCTTGGCTTCCTCCCCCATCCCACTCTAGACACACACTGACAGCTACCAAAGTTAGTGCAGCCAAATGGCCCCAGGCCCCTTCCCATTGCCCCCAGCTCCAGACTTTCCATCATATCATTCATTGCCACTATCTCCCATTCCAACTTCCTCTTTATATGCTGGACATTTTATCACATTCTGAGGACCAGTAACCCACCAGCTAGCCTCCTCTGACACACATTCATTGAGGCCCATTCCCTTTAGGGCCCTGAGGAGTTAATAAGAAGCCATATCAGCTTTGGTGAATGGAGCCCCAGCCCCAAATCCCCTGCCCTTGCAAATATGGGATAAGTAGGGAGTCTAATCCAGGCACCATGACAGCCACAACAGCCTCTTATCCCTCATCTACAGACAACTAGGCCAAGGAGAGAGGATACATGCCTTCTCCTCCACAACACCAAAATGGGAGAGGGGATAATTTAGGGGTCTGGGTCCCTAAGAGATATTAGGCACCTCTCCCAGGAGCTAGGGGAAATCACAGGTTAAAGGTCAAGGTTAGGGTAGCAATCAAAGATCAAGGTCATCTCCCCAACAGTGATCTGCCCATTTCCCTTGCTTACGCTAGCCCAGTGCCCTCATGTGCCTCCCAGGTTAGTGCTGTGGGAGGTGAGGGCTGGGTCCCACACCAGGGCAACAAGGGTCATTCAACAGGAGACCTCCATGGTGTGCCCTGGGGGACCTGAAGAAAGAGTTCCAGATTCGCTGCTCTGAGACAGGGTACGGGAGCGGGACCGGTTGCCATCAATGGATGCTGCACTGGTCAGAGAGGCTGTGCGAGACCGGGAGAGGCGAGTCATGCAGGATGAGGCCACTGTGGAGACAGAAGGATAAGAAGGAATCAGAAAGTAGTGGGGAAGGGAGACTGGCAACTCAGTGTGGGGTGCTGATGTGGAGACCAGAGTTCAAACTGGGGCCAGAGAGTCAACGAGTCTGATGGCAGATGGTGGAGTGTCCAGGAATTTACTAACATGGTTCTGCCCTCTCAGTGCCCATCCCTCCCTTGTCCTCATGATAGCTTCTCTCCCCACACTCACTGTAGCCCATGCCTTGCAGGAAGTACTTGAAGGCCTCAGTCAGCTTGCCTGGCTGTGGAAGTAAAATGAGAGAGAGAGACAGTGAGCTTAGAGGCCCAGCAGGAGCCCAAGGCCATGGTGGGGTGAGAACCACTAATGTCCTAGCCCTCTTCCCCATCTCATGGACAGCAGGGTACTCACCTGAGTCAGCTGGGGCTGACCTCCAGAGTCCGCCATCTGCTCAGGAAACAGCCACCAAGAAAAAATAATATACATATAAATCAAATGATCCACACAGAGAGGTAGAAAAGGGTCTCTCTTTCCTAGCTTCCTGACTCCAGTCCCTTTGTTTTAGTCTTCATTCACCCTACTTGCTCCCATGCAGAAGAATCAAATAGATTTAGACGCTGAATTTAGAGAGGCTATATGGCTCCAGACAGAGGGCCAGAAGTCAGGCTGAGCTTGGAGTAGAATTACCTTGAGGAACGAGGTCTGGGTGGGGTCCAATTTTGAGTTACATTCCACCTGCAGTAAGTAAAAGGCTGAATGAATGAGATCACTCTCTCTGGGGCCCCTCCCCTCCCAAGGACCCTAATCCCAGTTCTTTTCTCTATCAGCCCCCTACCCAGTGCCTCCTTACCAAGAATCAAAGAAATCAAATTTTTTTTTGCTAACATACATTTTCTTTCTTTCTTTCTTTTTTTTTTTTTTTTTTTTTTTTTTTTAACTGGGGATTGAACCCAGGAGCACTTTACCACTGAGTTTATTTTGAGGCAAGGTCTTAAGTTGCCAAGAACTTGCTAAGACGCTGAGGCTGGCCTCAAGCTTATGATCCTCCTGCCTCAGCTCCTGAGTCACTGGGATTACAGGTATGTGCCTCCACCCCCAGCAAAGAATCAAATTCTTAATTTGCCCCAAAGTTGACCTCCCTGTCCCAAATTGAGTAGTTTGCCCCTCTCGCCACCACCCTCAGACCCCAACTCTCCCTCACTACCCCCAGATTTTCTACTGACCACTGCATCTTCATGGGGTGCTTGGTCTCCTACCACCAACATCACAGGGCATCTACAGGCATAGTTGGGGAGAAGTCAGTAAGCCCCTGACACTCCCTCACCCACCTCTTCCTAGCAAAGCAGCAGGAAAAATGTCTGACTCTAAAGAGAAAACAGCCTCTTTCCCTCTGCTAACCCCACCAAGAAGAGTCAAAGAGGGAAGACTTTACCAAATATAATGGGACAAGAGATGACAGAGAAATTCCCTGACAAAAACTCTCCTTGTAAGGGATACAAACACCTAGGGAAGATCCAGGGAGAGAGGCAAAGCCTTATTTCTTAAGTCTTACTTGAGGGTGATTTCACTTCCACGCTCAAAGTTCAGATCTCGGCGGCTAGAGAGGGGTTCAAAGAATAGAAATTTTAGACAGGCAATGCGATCCATCCAGATATAAGCTCTCCCTCTGTGAGAAAGCCATCTTCCTTCTTTATGATCAAATATTGATAATTTAAGGTAGAAACCAAAGGAGAAGAGAGCCAGCAGATCCCAAGCAAAACTGCTGTGATCACCTATGCCCTATATCCCTGATCAGAGGGCAGCAAAGAGGGAAGAAGGGCACAAGAACAAGAGATCATATTATCTCTGAGAATCCAAAAATCCATGGGAGGTAAACAAAAGAAAGGGGACAGTGCCTCACAATTCTTCCTTCTCGGTCTGTCCTGAGCTGCCCAAGCTGCACACCAAACCCTGCCCTCCTCCCACACTGCATACTTCTCAGACTCCCCTGCCTCCTCTGTACCTCCCATGCCCCCCAGTTCCCACTATTAATTTCTCTCACATGCACACACACACAGCCCACTCACTTGTTGTAGCTGTTCCAGTAGAGTTCAATGTTCTCCAGGTTGGGTGCATGTGTAATGATATTCCTATACTTTTGTATCAACTCTGAATTTCCAGACAACTCTTCCTGAAGGACAGACAGGAGATAACTTAGGGTTAAAAAGAGAAGCAAGCAACCACTGCATAAGAGGCAAGCCTTCTTCTTTCTCCAGATCATGTACCAGCTTAAAGAAGTCATCCTAGGCATTCAAGTCCCTGCTGGACCCTCTACTTCCTCCATCTTCCACAACCAACCTACCTGGCTGAAAAGATGCCCAAGGATCATCTCCGGAATGGAAGAGGTGAGGCCCGTTAACTATGAGGAAAGGGCAGGGGAACAAGTTCAGGACCTTATGGGGAAAAGAGACCAGGCAAATGATACAGCTTCACTTTCCTACCTATCACCCTCTATGTGAAGCTTGAGTCCATATGGTTGCTCCATAGAGCTAGGCCCAAACAAGGGGAGCCCCACCCTAGACATCCAAACAGAAGTCTTCCAAACCTTGTGGGCTGCCCAATCCATCCAACCCTTGGCATTGGGATCAATATTGATGAGAACAAGACCTTCAACTGTGTCCGGGTGGTTAAGCTGAGGGGCAGTAGAAGGAAAGAAATCAGAAACAGGGCATGGCCTTATCCCTTTCCCACTGAGCTCCACCCATCCTGAGGTTCCCTCAGGTGGGCCTGACTGCCCACCCTTGTCCCCACTTCCTCCTGTGAACACACACTAATAAGCAATATTCTTCTAATCGGTAAGGACCCTCCTTTTCCCCACCTAGAAATTTTTTATTTCTTACAGCGTATCGCGACAGGATGTAGGCTCCAGCTCCGACACCAACTCCAATTATTGTAGAGAAACTATAAAAAGGAAATGTATGTCTCATGGGCTCTGGTGTCTAAAATCTGTCAGAGTCCAGTAGTCTCCTCAAACTCTTCACCCTCCTTTCTGAGTTAAGAGGCACAAAGGAGGACAGCAAGGGACCCTCTTTGGGGGGATGTAAAGGAAGGTACTAAGGAGCTAAAAGCACTTCCAAGATTGGCACTGGAAGCCAGTGTAGATCTCTGAAGACTAGCCCCAGCGTCCTCTGAGAGAGCTAGTATCTTGAGACAAAACACCTATCTACCAATCTACCAACCACTCTTTCCTATATGCATAGCTCTTTGTATATTCTTAGGAGCTAGTTCAACTTGTTCTGCTTTCTAGAATGGAACTTAGCAAGAGGTAAAATCAGACACAACTGTAGTGAACAACAGAAGGGGGAAACAGAGGCAAGGAGGTTCTTGGAGTTGCCAAGAGCCATAGTGCCCAGGAAAATCTAAGAACAGAACCCAGGAGTCAGCATCTCCCTGTGTATGTCAAAGAAGGAAGCCTGTGTGGCCTTTTCTTCCTTCTCCCACTCACTCACACACAGGGCTCGAAGAGAACCCGCAGTTCACCAGGTGTGTGTGGAGGAGGGAAAAGTGGGAGGGGAAGAGACAGGTCTATCTGGTTCCTCAGTGATTAGGTCACCCCTACCTCTTCCTCTCTAGCGTCCAGATCTAAGAAGCCCCTCCCCAGCCAGAGGCAGGGCTAAGCACAGACCACCCCCACTTTCCTCCATTCTCTAAGGCTATTCCATAGTCAATTTTCCAAACCCACCACACTCCTCTCAATAATCAAGGTGGGGTATGAGGGAGAAAGAATATATTGACACCAGATACTAAAACTTAGCCCAGGAACTATGGTGGGCACAGTACTGCTAAGGCCTCCTTGTACTGGAAAGAGAACTCTGGTTTAGAGGGGTCCCCAGGCCTCTCACTTTAAGTACTGCAGGATGCAAGGGATCATGTCTGCAAGCTGGTCCAGAGACGGGTACTGGTATCTGGGGAAGAGAGGAATGTTAAGATACTAATCTGTGCCCACACTTCCCATCTCAGGTGCCCTCCTTATCCTCTGCCAGAATCACCCCTGCCTTCCCTTCCTCCTCCCTGGTCCATTCTTCCCCACACCTGCCCTATACCTTACAGTCTGGTAAAGGGGTAAGGGGTTAATTCTCACCCCAAAGGGAACACAGGAGCCCCCTCTTCCATTCCAGGGGCATCCACATGAACCCGCACGAAGTTTTGAATGATTTCCTGCATATCCCCAAATTGAAACAGCGGCTGGAAGCAAGATTTATCTAAAGAGAACCCACATCACCCCAACAAGAGAATCAGACAGGCAAAGTGTCCCCACATCAGAACCCACCCACCCTCTTGCTTTGATGCCATAATCAGGCTAGGAGAGAATTTCTTGACAAGCCCCTGGGCTCCCTGCCTGCCCACACTCTCTCTTCCCTCTACAATTGTACCCTTCCCTCAGCCTCTTCCCAGAAAGGAGGAACAGGAGAAAATAAAGGTCCTTACAGTTGAGTCCCACATCATGGTACGTGAATATCGCTGGGCGTTTGGGTTTAGGGGTGCCATAGACAGTAAAAGTGACAGAGCCATAAGGTGTCTCCACAGAGTGAGTCTGTAGGAAAACAGGTCACCATCAGGGAGGAGTTAGGCTGAGAGGAACAGGGGCCAGAGAAAGAGCTACACAAAATCAGGGAGATGGGGGTGGCAGAGAGAAGAAAACAAAATTAAAAATAGGATCAGCAGGAATTTAGGGCAACATGATGGTGGAGATGGGTTTGAGGATGGAAAAGAATGATTGGAGAGCATCCGGGAACTCTGAGAAGGGAAGAAGAAGGAGGGAAAGAGGAGAGCTGGGGAAGGGAACTTAAGTGAAAACAGGAGAAAACCAGGTAGGGGCCCTTTCTAGATCCTGGGGGAGAGGACAGCCCCTCCTCCCACCCTGGGACTGCCCTCATGCTGTTACCTGTCCCTGGTCCAGGAGGATTCGGGCAGCTAACTCAGCCTCCTGGAGAGACACACATACAGACAGATACACACAGATACACACAAACATGAAGAGTCAGATGGAGTGACACACATAGGTAGAGAGACCAACAAAGACCAAAGAAAGAGATTGACAAAAAAGACAGGAAAGGATGAAGGTTAATGCAGTGATAAGACAAGGACCTGGGTCCCAGCTGCAGCATAAGGGATGAGAGATGGGCGGAGGTGGAGAAGCAGGAGTGCGCATTAGAATGAGAGCCACAGGCTTGGAAGCCAGGAGGCAAAGGGAATGCTTAGGGGGCTAGGATTTTGGCAGGGAAGCCAGAGGGTCTCCAGTAACCTTGGCCGCCTCAGGGGTCTGTCCTGGCAACAGCGGCTTCTCCTCTGTGATCTGCACCTCCTGAAGCTCTGCCATGGTGGCCTGGCAGGGTGAGGAAACAAGACAGGGTAGTTGCCTCCTCACCTTTACCCCTCCTCAAACACTGGGCTTCCCCTGTCAGCACTGGAATACAAAGTATAGAGGAACCCAGGAGATGAAGACTACTCCAGGATACCCATAGGACCTTTCCTGCCTCAGCTCCATTTCCAGATCACCTGGGAGAAGGGGGTGCAGAACAGGAATCAGGACACCACTCCTCTTCAGACTGCCAGCCTCACTGCTGCCCCTTAATACAGGCACCTCCAGACCCTACCCCTCCCCTATCCTGTACGGAAATACCAGAGTGGAACAGCAGTGTGGCTCTGGTTTCCCAGGCTATATTTAGGGGACACCCACACTCCCAGTTAGGTAGAGGGTGAAACTCGTGGCTCAGTGACTGAGTACTCTAAACATACAAAGGAGTAGGGTGATGAGAGTTCACGGTGGACTATAACCTTCAACTAAAGCCCAAGGTCAGCAACTCAAAGGAAAGGGGACTAAAAAAGTAGTCAGAGCAATGAACAACTGAGGAAAGGGACACTACAGCACAGGGACCTGAGTATCCAACCCAATCAATGCCTCCCTTTGTCCCAAGACTCAAGACTCCCTCCTGATTACATTCAACATTAGGGGCCAGGAGGGGCAGAGCACCAGGGCAGACCTGCAGAAGAAGGAGTTTACAGCTTGTGGGTGGGGTCACTTACTGGGCTCCTATTGGCTGGATTCAGTGGGATTAAGGGTCAGGGTTCTCACTCCTCCTGACTCTGGGGTCTGAGAAAACACAGTTACACGAGGTGAATGACATGGGAAATATACGCTGGGTCTTTTAGGGACAGGAAGCATCAGCCAAGACCCAGACTCCCAGGGTCACTAACCCTCCCCAATCTCTACCCCTGAGTCCAGAGAACGCGTCCTCTCTAGGCTTCAATCAATACAGGCTGGAGGGACCTGCAGGACAACACGGAGCTGGCTTCTGCCCAGGCTGGGGTGGGGGCTGGCGAGAAGGAAGTGCTGATGTGGAGAAGGAAAAAGCATATCTGTCAAAACCTCTGGATTCTAACCCTGGCTCTGCCACTACCAGTGTGACCTTGGCCCACTGGGTTACTACTCAAATCTCCTCCTGAAAACTAAAAGGGGGGAGTAGGGGACCCCCAAAATTTTTGACAGCTCTCGTTTAAGATGAGGGTTTCCCTCCACCATTTAAAAACAAAAAAGTCTCCAGCCTTCAGCCGGCCCTCTGTAAATCCTGTGAGTGGAGAAAGGGGAGGGTGGGGAAGGCGGTCCCATAATCTCCGAGCCTCCCCCGACGGCGAGCCAGGGCAAGCGCCAGCTGGGGAGGGATGAGTAGGATTTACGGCACTGGCCGGGCCCAGCACCCAGAGCCTGTCCCTACGCTGCCAGTCCGCGTGAGGATCGACACCTTTGGGCTGCAGGCGCCAAGCGTCGGGCACCGTGGACACAATCTCTCGCACACCCCAAACACGCCCGTCGGCTAGCAAAAGCCTCCGCCTTTGTGCGCAGCAGCCCCCTCCTTGCGGGGCCCCTTTCCCGGAGCCGCCAGCTTCAATAAATCGGGATCAAACCGCCCACCGGCCCGGCGGGCGCCTTCCAGGCCCGGCGGCCCCTCGCCTGCCCCTCCCCCTACCTGCTGCCGCCGCGGTTGCTTCCACCTTCACTTGCCTTTGACTCGGGCCCGCCCCGGCTCGGACTCCCCGCAGACCCGCCCCCGGCCCGCCCCGGCCCGCCCTCGGGCCGACAGCTCCCAGCAGATCCGCCCCAGACCCCCAGTAAACACACCCCCCTTTACCCCGCCCCAGACTGTCCTCGGCTCAGGGAGGGGCTGTGCTGGGGCAGAAGGGAGTGCGAGGAAAGCAAACTGGGGGATGCTTCCAGGCTCCACTTGCGCTCCACACAACATCCCCCGCAAGGAGCGGTGTGGGGCGTGCGTGGGGACCCCTTAACCCTGCAAGGGATCCCTACGCCCGCTCTCGACACCGCCTCTATCCGTGGCCTGTATCTGCCTGTGGTACTCTAGCCCCCTTCGCCCCTAGACTCAGTTATGGGTTGGGTGGAGGGAGACCTACAAGGTACTGGCACCCCAAATTTTCAACTGCCGCCCCCTGGAAACAGAGAGCTAGGTTAAGGAAGGAGGAGGAGGGCGAAGCCGGCCGCTGAAGAGGATGGGGTCTCGCGGGCTGGGAGGGGTCGATGTGCCAGCTCCGAGCAGGGTTGGGGGCGTCGAGGACGCAGGAATTTCGACTCCCGGGTGCCCAGGGTCCTAGTACCTCCTTTCTTTGCTGCGTCCGACGCCTGCTCTCCGGCTGCTCTGTGAGAAGTTGGACAGCAAGGAGCGGGGGCGGGGAATGCTGGGGGCCGCTATAAATAGAGGGTGTTCGCTGGAGGGGAGAGAGGATGGCCAACAGGGACTCCCGGGTCAAGGCCCCAACGAGGGAGGGCGTTGCTGAAGGAGGGGCCGGGGACCCCCAAGGGCTCTGACTCCTGGGTAAACAGGGGCGGAGGTGGAGTTAACCCTGCGGGGGTGGAGTGGGGGCTTGGGGAGGACGCAGTGTCCCGGGCTGGGACCCAAGAGACCCTGTGGCTAACCACTCCCAGTCCGGCCCAGGAAAGGAGGGCGAGACCGGCTCAGACTGGCTGAACGCAATCCCTACAAGATGGTGTCTGAGGGACTGCCTGACTCTCCGTGCTTGGGTGGGTTTGTTACTCTATACTTCCACACACATACACACCATAGATGGACCCTCCCTGTGCCCCTCAGAGGAATGTCTCCTGGAATGGGATAGTTGATGTGGCCAATGTTGTCTTATGCAAAAGGAAACCAGATTGAATTTATCCCCACCTGCCCCCCCCTTCTATCTACCCTCCCTCCTAGGATCATCCCCACCCCATCCCCCTTCAGCCTGGGTCCTGAGCTGCCATTTCGGGGGCTGGGCACCAAGCCAGTTGGAAACAATGGCCAATGGAACCCGAGCTGCCAACTGCAACACCAGCATAGACTGCCCCCCCAGACCCCCAAACTGCTTTCCCCCTCCTGCTTGGGAACCACCCTCCCACCACTTCCCTCACCACTGGCAACCCCCTCCCATCCAAGGAACATCAATGCCCCTTTCATCCCCACTTGGCAGGTCTATTGGAAAGAAGGATATGCCAAGAGGGAGGAGGGGACCCAGAGTAAGAGAACTGGTTGGGCTCAAACCCAGGCTTCAAAACCCCCATATCCAGGGGGCTCCTATGTTCCTGGATTTGGAGACCCTAGGTTTCCTGTTTCTTTCTCCCATTCCCTTCATAACTCTTTCTGTAGAAACTGGCACAAAAGCTTGGCACCATGGCTCCCTGCCTAGCCCCCTCAAGTCTCTGGATGCTGTTTAAACACTACCCTAGACACGGAAGAGTCTGCTGAAATTAGGGTCATAGCTTCAGAGGCATAGAACAGAAGACAAAGATCTCAGCTGCAATGATGGAACTTCAGTAGAAAGAGAACTTAGAGCAAGAATTTTGCCTGCAATTTTCTTTGATTTATCTAAAGTCAGCTTACTTGGAGTGGGGGAGGGAGAGACCTGAAGGTTCCAGCATCTAAATTCGTCTCTGGGTCAGGATGACTCAGGGGGAACCTGATAAGGGGCCTAGGCAGGGGCTTGGGCCAGGCAGGAGGTGGGAAATTTCCACTGAGATCTATTTGCTTCCCATGCCTAGGGGTCCCATTCAGCCTGCTGCAGGCAGAAGGAAGAGCTTTCAGAGGGTTCTTTCCTATTTGGACTGCTCAGAGACAGATCTGGGGGTAATTGTCCCAACAAAGACAGTACATTCTATATATTCAACTATACATTCAACTAAGCAACCGTTTTTAAGCACCTGCTATATGCAGTTACCGCATACATGGAATTTGAAGAAGTGTGAAGTCTGGTCACACCCTCACTAGAAATTTGATCCAGTGGTCAGCAGATGGTATAAACACGAAAAAGTTTAGGAAAAAGTATGTATATATATAAGATCAACCTTTTGGAGAATAGGTACTAGAGAATAGTTTTCCACGCTTTTAAGTAGATTAGAGACAATATTCTTGTCTATTACACACCAAGACCCCCACTCTTTCCCTGTTGGGTCCAACACCCGGAGCCCTTTGAAATTGAGTTTGAGGTTGATTGGCCAAAGCTGGTGGGATTCTCCATGCTTGTTACTACACAAACTAGACAGAAGCACAGAGTGGACTGGATTCAACCTGTTTTCATTTATCACTATTATCTGAATGTTTATGAACCCCCAAAATTCATATTTTAAAATTCTAAATCCTAAAGTGATAAATTAGGAGGTGGGACCTTCAGGTGTCATGATTAAGTTTCATAAGGGCAGAGTCCTAATAAACAAGGGAGCTGTTTTCTCCTTCACCCCATGGTGTGAGGACACAGTAAGAAGGCATCATCTATGAACAAAAAAGCAGCCCTCACCAGACACTAAATCTGCTGATGCCTTGATCTTAGACTTTCTGGCTTCCAGAAATAAATTTCTGTTATTTATATGACGACTAGATTATATTTTGTTATAACTGTGAGAACAAGCTAAGACACCTCCTCTGGGCTCTCCTCAGCCCTTTATTGTGGGGCAGAGCACCAAGCACTTTGATCAGGACCCAGAACTAGGCTGAAATGGTGAAAATCTGAACAAGCCAGAAGGTTGGCAATTTGCTCAATTCAGCGTGCAAGGTAAAGAGACCAAAAGCCCTTCTCCTAAGACAGGGGTACAGCTGGAACCAGCAGTGATGTCACATAACCACTGAGATCACAGAAGCTTTCCTCCACGCCCCTTCCTGTCTCCTGGTTGCCACAGTCTCCCTAGCCCATTGACTCCCACATATCTGCACACACTTGCTTAAAAGGGTAGGAAGGGTCAGTGTACCATCCAGGCACTTTCAGGTACCCAAAAGTGGTGGGAAAGGGGAATGTTCGGTGTGGAGTATCCCAAGTGCTGAGAAGGATAGACTCCTGCTGTTGCTGTAGCAGATGGAATGGAGAGGGGATGAAAAGAGAGGAGAAGGAAAGAGGGGAATTATTCCTGTGTCTGGTGTATATTAACCCCCATCCTCATTTTTCTTAAGTCCTCCCTTCCCCTCTTCCCTTACCCCCAAGGTTCCCCCTACTGCCCTCCCCCACCTTCAGCTGCTCATGGCATCAGAAGCAGAGAAAACATTCCAGCGATTTGCTGTCTTCGGAGAATCATCAAGCAGTGGCACTGAAATGAACAACAAAAATTTCTCTAAACTGTGCAAAGACTGTGGCATCATGGATGGCAAGGCAGTCACCTCCACTGATGTGGACATCATGTTCAGTAAAGTGAAGTAAGAAGACAAAGGTGGGGGTTGGGGCATAGCCAGAGCAAGGCAGTTGGCCATGAGGTGTTGGTGTGGACCAGCATTGGTACTGGGCTTACCAAGCAGCCTGTGAGGTTGGGGAGGGGACCTGCCCAGGCTGTTCTCTGCCCTCAAGACATTTAGTGATAGATGGGACAAAAGAGGCCAAGTCTGAGTAAGGGAAAGGTAATGAGTTCATATTCAAAGTCCCTGGATTTCTGTCTGACTCACCAGGGCCAAGAATGCCCGAACCATCACATTTTCAGAGTTTCAAGAGGCAATGAAGGAGCTGGGCCAGAAGCGGTTCAAGGGGAAGAACCCAGATGAAGCCCTGCAGGCTGTTTTTAAACTCATGGAAGGCAAGGACCCTGCCACCACTGGAGTTACTGTGAGTGATGTTCTTCATCCCTAGCCCTTTATTCTACTTCCCTAAATCCCTACTGCTGCAGTCTCCCCTCCCATTCATTAATGTCCTGAATCCAGTGCAACTATAGGAAACAGAGCATTAAGTCTGTGGTGCACTGTTGGTACTGGCATAGACTTTACAGACCATGTAATCATTCCAGAGGTGACCCAGAGAAGGGAAATAACTTGTCCAAGGTACATGGCAATTGGGGGTTGAAGCTGAGCCACACCCCTAGCTGCAATATAGCTATTTTAATAGTAGAATTTAGAATCATTCCCAAGTCTCCAGGATCTGAGCCAGGCATCTAGGGCTTTGGGGGGACATTAACATAGAGGGTTTGGAACTTGATCCTCAGTCCTCCTCCTATTCTTATTTAAGATTTAATCTGAGATCCCTTGCCAGGTTTGGTGGAATATGCCTGTAATCCCAGTCACTAGGGAGATTCAGGCAAGATTACAAATTCAAGGCCAGCCTCAGGAATTTAGCAAGACCTTCAGAAATTTAAAGAGACCCTATCTCAAAAAATAAAAAGGACTGGGGGATATAGTTCAGTTGTAAAGTGCTCCTGGGTTCAATCCCTAGTACCAAAAAAAAAAAAAGAGAGAGAGAGAGAGAAAGAGAGACCTCTTACCTGTCACCCACCATTTTACTTAATTGTACCCTCTATATGAAAAGCTATTTCTACTCTGTCCATTGGGTCAGAGGCTGAAGTTCTTTGGCAGCAGTCTGGTCAGAAAAACTCCACTGGAAACAGAAGCATCCACCCCCCCCCTCCTCACAGACCACACGCACTCTTACACCAGATTCCTCCTGCCTCAGGAGTAGATGGCTCTTGCCAGAGGTCCTGCCCACAGCTGCTTCTGGGCCATGAGGAAGCAGTACTGTGTCAGAGGCATAGCAAGAGCTGTGCACTCTTGTTCTGAGGATCTAAAGCCATCTTTGGGGAAGGGCTGTGACAGTGCAGGGGAAGGAAGAGGGCTCAAACCCCTCCTCTGGCTTGCAGAAGGCAACAACAGTAGGTGGAGTAGATCGTCTGACAGACACCAGCAAGTACACCGGTACCCACAAGGAGCGCTTTGATGAAAGTGGCAAGGGCAAGGGGATTGCAGGACGGGAAGAAGTGACTGACAACACTGGCTATGTGAGTGGCTACAAGGGTGCTGGCACCTATGATAAGAAGAAGTAGAGAAGAGCCTCATCTTAGCCTGCCCTGACCCTTCATCTTTAATACCAGGGAGCTTGAGAAGCAATAAACATCTGTGTGTGCAGCAGCAAATAAGCTCAGTCTAATGAGGGTGAGGGACTAATTGTTGCACTGGTGGAGAGGGGGAATAGAGAGAGCCCAAGGAGTCAGGGTATAGCCATATGTCCTTTTACCCTGTCTAGTTTCATGACTATCAGCTGTAAGTTAGCACTCCTCTCAATTTCTAACAACAGGATGAGGAATATACTTGGAGATAAAAGATGAGCAAGATGTGGAAGCATAAGTATTTATGTGTTCACATATCACTAGTATCCATCCCTTCTATCTCCCAAGGGGAATAGCATTTTCTTATTTGACATGTGACCTAGCTGACAATTATAGGAGCCCCCCCCCCTTTTTTTTTTGGTACCGGGGATTGAACTCAGAGGTGCTTAACCACTGAGCCTAGCCTCATCCCCAGCCCTTTTTATATTTTATATTTTAGAGACAGGGTCTCGCTGCTTAGGGCCTTGCTATGTTGCTGAGGCTGGCTTTGAACTCAGGATCCTCCTGCCTCAGCCTATTAAGCCCCTGTGCCAGCTAATTATTTGATCCTTTCTTATCCCTCTAACCTTCCACATATAATGCAATCCAGGTTTTGTTGGGAGAGAAATAGAAACCAGGTAAGGCAGCCTGACTCCTATTACAAATTTGTTCTAGAGCTGAGGGAAAGGAGAATCCATTTTCAACACCCAGGTTAGAAGTGAGTTTTACCCACCCCAACTCCATCATGGTACCCCTGGAACGGAAGACTTCTGTGTGTATTAGGGGCTGGGAGGTTCTAGGGATCAAACCCAGGACCTTGCACATACTGAGCAAATATACTCTGCTACTGAACTACATCTTTTGATTTCTATGGGTAGCTGGGCAAGATGGCCAGAGATGGGTGGTCACTAGGTCTTGGAGAGCAAGAAAAAAAGAATTAAATCAGGACTGATTCAGATGCGTTTTTTAACTTTTTATTTTGAAATGATTACAGATCCACAAGAAGTTGCAAAAATTGGTATAATGAGGTCTTACGTACCCTACACCCAGTTTTCCCCAATGATTCTATCTTAACTCAGAATATGGTTTTAAAACTTTACATGGCCAGAACCAGGCCCACCTCATCCACTTCATGCTTTATTAGCAGCAGACCCTGGAGTTTGGACAATGTTGGGAGCTACTGAAAATAAAGGAATGGATGAGAGAAGATAACTTGAAATCCCAGTGGCCCTAGATGAGAAGGAAGGCAGGTTGACAGCAGTGGGAGTGCTGGGAGAGATAGCTCTGGACTCATGAGGAGGAGAAAGGAAAGGGCAGGTTATATAAAGGGAAATATCAGTGATTTCCAAGAGGTGCAGAACAGAGACTGAGGAGGATTGTAGGGAAATGAGGCTAAAGTGAGTCTAAAGGTCTCAGGGAGGTTCCTGTAGCTAGAGATACCCACCAGGTAGGTTTGGAAGGGAAGAAATTGTCAATTTTAAGTTCTCTTGTAGAGGCCAAGGATACCTATCGGTTGGCCTTCATACTTGCTGGAGCAGAGCAGGTAGAGCTTTCGGTTGGTTTCAGTGCTTGAATAGCGGCAGCTGGTGGGTGGCTGTCTCTTGTTCACTCTGCAGATTGTGATGGGGAAGGGCTTCGTGGTGAGTGTGCAGTATTCATTGTAGTTCTCACAGAAGCTCTCACTATTCTTGCAGGACTTCCAGATGGTTTTCCAGGGGGTGTGCAACACGTAATGTGTCTTAGGGCAATACCATTGTTCCTTTCTGCCCCGCACGTAGGACATAAAACCATTACAGTAGCCCTTGAAATCATCCGGGAATTTCACCTTGGGATAGTCCATGTTTAAGGTGCGGAAATTCTGGACAGCAATCTCCAGCTGGACAGCCATGACCAGAGTGGGCCCTAGAACAAGCTGGAGGAAGAGAAGCTGGGCCACAGCTGGTGCCATTCCTCCTGCTGGCAGAGTTAAGGTGGTTGGAAGTAGGGTGGGCCTACAGTGTCTGTATGCCCCTTCCCAGAGCCTCCAGTATTACTCAACCTTCCCCATATGCCTTCCCTGCTCTTTTAAAGGTGGCCGTTCAGCCCAAGTCCTCATGACCCAGAGAGGGGAGGCATTTGCCCAAGTCCACCCAGGTAATCTGCCATCTCCACCATCCCTCCCTTGGTCCACCACCAGGTCTCAGTCTCACCCAGTCTGTGAGCTGCAACACTTGTAGAATGAGCTTCAGCCAGCTTGTGAGAAATGCTCCCAGTGGTCCCTGGCCCAACACCCTTTGCTAAAAAATGCAGAGCACTAAGAGGAACAAACTGGGCTGATGAGTCTAACAGTTCTGGAGGAAGAACAGGAACTGAAGACAGCTGGGCGGGGCAGGGATGCTTCTTGCCTGAGGCCAAGAACAAGCTAGAGGTAAGATGAGGCTAATAAAAAGTCTCTAGGTAAAGACCAACCTGGAAAGAATGAGTGGGCCCTGAATTTGGGGACCCCCTGTGCTGAGAGGGTTGGATGGGTGGGAGGAAAGAAACATTGCTCTCTGATCGTCTCTTCATTGGTGTCCTCAGAACACTTAGTTCCAGCCTCCTTGCCAGAAGTTTCAAAGTTCCTGGGCTTGCTTTGATGTTTGCTCGGGCTCATCAGCCCTGCTCTCTCAGCAAGGTGAAAAGGAAAGCACCATCATGTTTCTGAGAAATAAAGTGCTTCTTATTCCTGACCCTCAGAGAACGGAGGGTCCAGCACTCCCTGGTCCCGCTCACAGGAGCCCCCAAGGCCATGTGCACAGGCACCTCCCACCAAAATGCCAGGCTGAGAATCAAGGACTACCTCAAGGACTCCCCACAGTCCCTGTCATCAACCAATGCCCCTAATGTGTGATTCAGGCCCCATCAGAGCACTCCTGGAAATCTATGCACGATGACTCTAAAACCCAAAACTTGACAGATTGTTTCTAACAGTATAACCTGGACTTAAAAGGTTGTGGACCCACTGAGCCTGGTCTGATCAGATTCTCACTCTCGGTTGATCTTTGGGAGGTTTGTTGTGCTGGAGAAAGGGCCAGGTTTCCTATTTCTCTTTTTACCAAATATCTGCCCCTTCATCAAAAAGCAAGCTTCCCGGAGCCTGCCAGTCCTCGACCTTGATTTCCACAGGCCCCTCAGCCTTGTGTCTATGCAGGGTGTTGTCAACATTCTGAGATTTCTCTTAGAAATGAAAGTGAAAATCTTTTCACTTTCACCAGCAGGAGAGGGAGTCAGAAGGCTGAACACTGAGTACTCTGAGGCCCACTCTGCAGCCTAGGGGGGGGACAAAGGGAGACCAAAGAAAGAAGTTGCTGTTCTCTCTATGGCCCCTTATCCACGGCTTCCCAGACTTACCCTTCCTATTGCACAAACTCGAGTCCAAAATAAGTTCATCCTTCTCACAACTCACTTCTGTGTTTACCTCAGTTTCCCCAGTTACCTGTGCAAGAAACCTGAGAGTGATCCCAGGCTTATCTGTCTCCCTAACCCACCTACTGGGGGGTCAGGACTGTGTGATGGCTAAGATCAAGGCTTTTGAGTAAAACAGACCAGGAACTGAATTCTGGCTCTGCAGATTACAGACTGTGAGCCACCAATCCAAGCTTACTCAACCACCATGCACTTCCAGGTCTTGAGGATACCATGTTATACCTCATGGCAGCATTCATATTCATTAAAATGTATATCAAGAGCTTTCAGGTCAGTGTCTGACACCTGGTGAATACTCATAGTGTGAGCGCGAATCCATCAGTTATGCAGCCCTCACAATCTTAACCTCCCCCCATATTTGCCCCCCTCCCCCATTCCTATTTTTTCCTCTGTTCAGGCTCTCTCCTCTCCTGGATACCACACAAAAGAGGCTCAATTCAAATGTATTTTTCATACAACTGTCAGAGTAAAAATGTAGTCTCCTCTTTTGTCTGACACACTGCAACGGCTCCCTCCTACCTCCCAGGCCTTGCTTGTGCTTCTCAACCCCAAATGTTGCCCCTGCTCCCCGTCTTTGAGAGCTAGGTCATACCAACACTCAGCCCTGAGGTCTCATTTCAGAAGTCTCTGCTTGGTTATGAAGGAAATGCCCTGATTCTTCTTAATTTATTTTGGCAGTACTGTGGATTGAACCCAAGGCTAGTTAAATGCTCTACCACTGAACTACATCCCCAGCCAGAAGTCTGTGCTTGGAAGACCTCCCCTATTGTGCACATCCAAGAAAGTGAGGATAAAGCCCACCAAAACAGGTGGCTCATCTGGATCCTTCAGGCCACTCAAGACTACACTGAATGGGAGCCAATGAACTGTGGTTCCTGAGCCTGGCTTTGAAGAAGCCGACCAGAAAGGCTGTGATCTCAACCTTGAATCATGCTACCTCTTCCCTAGTCCCTCATGGCTGCAACTTCCCTGAGAAGAGACAGGGCTTTTTATGCCTCTTGGACTTCTCTCCCTTCATTCCCTACCCACCATTACCACTCTTACTCCTCCCCACACCTCCGCTCACCTGTGCACGCAGGACTGCAGAACTGCAGAACTGAGCAGCATGTTCAGTTCAGGACTTCATGGTTGATGACCAACCCACAGAGTTTGTTTCCTCTGCTGGGAGGTGGGATACCTTTTTCACCTCAGAAGGCTGCAAGAATAAAATCAGCAAACATGAAAGGGCTTTTAAATCATTAAACAATACATAAATGGAAAACCAGAATACAGGTCTCCAAAGTTTACACACGAAGTCACTTTCCACATTTGCAAAGTCTTGTTTATTCCCTAAACAAGCACTCCCACCATCCCCAACCCCTGATCTGCTCACAAAGAACCCCTTCCAAGTCCTATCTTAGAACTCATCTCCATGAAGTTTTTGATAATTACTTTGAGACAATTTTTTTTAAATAATCAAATGCCTGAAAGCACTTTGACAAATATTGTGGACTTATCTATAATTCAGTGGGAAAGGCATACATAAAAACACATGTTACAAAAGCATGTGCTCAGGGCCAGAGGAGTCCTGGCTGGAGACAGAACAATGGACCTTCCGATTCCCAACTGTGGTTTCTGGTGTTCTGGTCTCTAAAATTCTATCCTAAGCTGGATGCCATGATGCATGCCTGTAATTTCATGAGAACTAAGAGGTTGAGGCAGGAGGATCACAGGTTTGAGGTCAGCCTCAGAAATATAGCAAGATCCTCATCTGAGTTTAGTGAGACCCTGTCTCAAAATTAAAGTCCCGAGAATATAGCTCAATGGTCAAGTGCCCCTGGGTTCAATCCCCAGTATAATAAATTAACTTCTATCCTGGAAGTATGAATCCACACTATTACTTCACCCATTCTGACATCCTTCTCATGGTTTTATGTTCCCTAAGCCTGGGATTTTTGGGATTGTTACTCCATTACACTGGATTTTACATATAAAGAATTATCCTATTGTGTATAAATGCCACATTTTTTTTATCCATTCATCCATTGAAGGGCATCTAGGTTGGTTCCACAGTCTAGCTATTGTGAATTGTGCTGCTATGAACATCGATGTAGCAGTGTCCCTGTAGCATGCTCTTTTTAGGTCTTTAGGGAATAGACCGAGAAGGGGAATAGCTGGGTCAAATGGTGGCTCCATTCCCAGCTTTCCAAGAAATCTCCATACTGCTTTCCAAATTGGCTGCACCAATTTGCAGTCCCACCAGCAATGTACAAGTGTACCCTTTTCCCCACATCCTCGCCAGCACTTGTTGTTGTTTGACTTCATAATGGCTGCCAATCTAACTGGAGTGAGATGGTATCTTAGGGTGGTTTTGATTTGCATTTCTCTGACTGCTAGAGATGGTGAGCATTTTTTCATGTACTTGTTGATTGATTGTATGTCCTCCTCTGAGAAGTGTCTGTTCAGGTCCTTGGCCCATGTGGCATTTATACACAATGGAGTATTACTCTGCATTAAAAAATGACAAAATCATAGAATTTACAGGGAAATGGATGGCATTAGAGCAGATTATGCTAAGTGAAGCTAGCCAATCCCTAAAAAACAAATGCCAAATGTCTTCTTTGATATAAGGAGAGTAACTAAGAACAGAGTAGGGTCGAAGAGCATGAGAAGAAGATTAACATTAAACAGGGATGAGAGGTGGGAGGGAAAGGGAGAGAGAAGGGAAAATGCATGGAAATGGAAGGAGACCCTCAGAGTTATACAAAAGTACATACAAGAGGAAGTGAGGGGAAGGGGAAAAATAATATAAGGGGGACAAACGAATGTCAGTAGAGGGAGCAGAGAGAGAAGAGGGGAGGGGAGGGGAGGGGAGGGGAGGGGAGGGGAGGGGGGATAGTAGAGGATAGGAAAGGCAGCAGAATACAACAGACACTAGTATGGCAATATGTAAATCAATGGATGTGTAACTGACGTGATTCTGCAATCTGTATATGGGGTAAAAATGGGAGCTCATAACCCACTTGAATCAAATTGTGAAATATGATATATAAAGAACTATATAATGTTTTGAACAGCCAACAATAAAAAATTTAAAAAAAAAAAAAAGAATTATCCTAAAGATGAAGAAACTAAGTTCTAGATAGTAGAACTTAGATATATGACTGTTCAAGATCACATTCTAATTCACTGATTCCCAACCAGGGCAATTTGGTAGTCTGGAGATACTTTTGTTTGTCCTAACTGGGAGTTGCTACTGGAATGAGGCCAGGGATATTGCTAAACACCCCACATTGCACAGGAAAGCTCCCACAACAAAGAATTGTCCAGACCAATATGTAAATGATGCTGAGATTGAGAAGTTCTTATCTAGTTAATGGCATAACCAAATTTCCTAACAAGAGCAGACTTAATTGTACCTTGTATATTTAAAAGAGTTGATTAAGCCAGACACAGTGGTACATTCCTATAATCCCAGCAACTCAGAAGACTAAGGCAGAGGAGAATCTCAAGTTTGTTGTTGTTGCTATTTGTGGTGCTGGGGATCGAACCTGGGGCCTTGTGTAAGTGAGGCAAGCACTCCACCAACTGAACTATATCCCCAACCCAGAAGAATCTTAAGTTTGAAACCAGTCTTGGCAACTTAGCAAGACAACTGTCTCAAAATAAAAAATAAAAAGGACTGGGGGTGTAGCTCAGTGGTAGAGCCCCCCTTGGTTCAATCCTCAGCAATAAAAAAATAAAAAAATTTTAAAAATTGGTAAACATCTGGAATTTACAATTACTTTTATTAAACCCATTTTGATTGTAACAGTGCTAATTCTTCTATCAGCAAAAGTACTGATGGTCAGCCAGGTGCTGTGGTACACAACTATAATACCAGTGGCTTGAGAGGCTGTGCTGGCAGATCTCAAATTCAAAGCCAACCTCAGCAACTTAGTAAGGCCCTAAGCATTTCAGTGAGACTCTGTCTCTGCATAAACCATAAAAAAGGGCTGGGGATGTGGCTCAGTGGTTAAGTGCACCTGGGTTCAATCCCCAGTGACACACACACACACACACACACACAAAAAGTACTGACAGTTCACCCTGGAAATGATATAACCTTGAGTTATTTTTACGGTAAAGATGACCCTCTGATGTAGTCATCTACACCCTCTTCTCCCCTCTTCAATGGTAAACCTTTGTAGAACAACAGGCTAGGGGTGTTTCCCTGTGATTGAGGAGATCCCTGAGATTTCACCCTGACTAGGCTCACCATGATTTCAATGGCATTACTTTTCACCCTGTCCAACTCAAGTTGCTCAAAGTCCTTGAACCCAAAAGGTTGCTTCATCCATCTCAACCTTTTTGTTCAATTCCAGAGGCTGAAATTCAGGAACTGCATTATCAGTTCACCAATCTATGCACCAACTCTGGGGCCTGGTGGTGATCCCACCCAGGACTGGTATCATTCTGGAAAAGTAGATGTCTTCTAACCTAGAAGTTGAATCAGTTAGGGTCACTTTCAGGCAGGGTATTCCAGTACATCCTGTGGAAGAGCAAAAGAGGTATAACAGGTGGTTCTAGTCTTTTGGGAATCAACGATCTAAGTTGGAGGAAAACAATAAATACATATGAAGAAATAACCAAAGATTCAAAGCAGAAAATAATACTTCTTGAAGACAATAAGAGCTATAGGGATGTAGAGATAAGAAAGATCTCCCTGAATTGGGGAAGGTCAGAAAAAGTTTTACTGGGGAGGAGGGTGATCATCCTGGGGCCTTGGGACAGGTCTCACAAGGTAGTTAGGAGTTAAGTGGAGATAAAGAAGATATGAAAAGCATGTTTAAAGCCAGCTGTGGTGGAACATGCCAGCAATCCCAGAAACTCCAGAGGCTGAGGCGGAAAGATTGCAGGTTTAAGGCCAACTTGGGCAACTTAGCAAAACCCTGTCTCAAACTTTAAAAACTGAACCCAGAGTCCCTGCGTGGATGTGGGGGGTGGAGGGAGAATGAGAATGAGAGAGACAGGAGGGAGGAGGAAGGTGGTGCAAGGAGGAGGTAGAGAGAAGGAGGGAGGGAGAGAGAAATTGTATTTGAGAAAAGAGAGAAAACCAGTCTGATTTTCTCACACTAAGTGTGTGAGAAATTATTTATTTATTTATTTATTTATTATATTATTTATTTAATTATTTATTTAATTTTTATTTATTTAATTTTCTCACTAAGTGTGAGAAAAGTCAGAGAAAAAGTAAGACAGGTTTTCCAGATCATGGCAGGCCTGAGTTTCAGATTAAGGAATTTATACTTTATTCTGTACATAAATGAGGAGTGGGGGGCTGGCGGGAGCTCATGAGACTGAGCCAACTGGTGAAGTGTCTCACTCCCAGACCAGGTCCCTCTCTCCTTCCCCCTGGCTTGTCTAAAGGCCTAGGTCTGGGAGCCAAGGATTGCAATCTTCTGTCAGTGCTGCCTTCTCAAACCCACAGCTGTTCCAGGAAAGGTCATGGGAATTCAAAGACCCGAACAGAGTCCCGCATCTGACCCCAACTTGCTGTATGTTTCACTTTCCCCAAATATGAAAATGATCCCATTACCCTTATTTATCCAAGCATCAACAAAATTAGGATAACAGAACTTGGATCTGCTCCTGTGTGGAGGGAAACTCCCTCATGGGCTTTCTATTGGTATCCAGAGGCTGTGTGGAACTCCGGAAGAGAGAGAGAGGCCTGGCTCTGAAGGGTGGGCACCCGTCCAGGCCCAGCCCTCTCTCCCCTCCTCCTGGCTCCTTCCCCGGGCAGGCCAGAGGAAACAGCAGCTGTTGTCCTGTGGGGGACACAGGCAGAGGTCCACCTGGCACTGTTAGGATTTTCACAACACCCATCCCAACTTACATATACAGGAGCCTAGGGGCAGGTTAGGCCAACAGCAGTGACCGTGATAATAGAGGGAGAAGGAAGCTGGAATAGAGGTTGCTCTCATGAAGGACTTTCTTCCCATCATCTTCTCTCCCACCATTTTTTCTTCTGTTCTAAGTGTCTCTTCTCCCTCTGCAAGTCCCTGACCAGTGCTGGTCTTATATCTGTTCCTTAATCTTTTCCTTTCTCCCATGGATACAGTGAAGGTAAAATAGCAAAATTATTCCACCAAGTGCAAAGTGAAGCAGATCTTGCAAGCTGGGTAGTTTAAGTAAACAAACAAAAACCCTCTTTCTGACCAAATAACTGAGGCAAAGCAAAGATTTCAGCCCGAATTGTACAGATAGTAGGTTCAACTCTTCTATTTCGATTTTCATGTGCAAACTTAAACCTTTACTCCCGTTTCCCTTTGACCTGAGACAGTGGGACCTTGTTTACTTCATCTGCACACAGCACTAAAGCAGCCTTCTGGAGAGACCAGCATAATGGAGTTGAAGAGCAAGCTAGGATAATTATAATGACAGGAAAACACAAGAGCAGAGGGCAGTTCAAATCGTGGTTTGGAAACATCTCACTTTAGGAGAATGGGAAGTGGAAAGCAGACTGGGCTAGGAATTCAAATTAGCTTGAAGTCTTCTACCCCCTCCTCCCACCCCAGCCTCCACTTCAAGGGCTGGACTGGCCAGAGCTAATATGCATTTGGCCCAAAGTCTGCTTTAAAACATGGATTTTATCCCCAAGCATGTGTGTTTCCACAGCAGCAGGGGCATAATACTCTACCCAGAAGTTCAGCCTGCAAAGATTCAAGCACCTTTACAAAGAAGCTAAGGCCTAGCTGAGGGCAAATCCACAGAGCCCAAGGCCTGTGTAAACTTGTTCTTGATTCTCTTTTGCCACCTAGTGGCATTTCACCTCTCCAACACTATTTTTTCTTCCAGAGATCCTTCGTCCTCACCCAAGCAACCTCTCTACTGTTATAATCTTCACAGCAGCCACGTGATGCTTTAAACAGGCCCTCCCTGCCACTGCTTACAGCCCTGCGGGGCTCCACATTGTACTCGGAGTGGAAGTCCCAGGCCTTCCAATGTTCTCTAAGGCTTCCTACAGTCCGCCTCTGGCACCTCTTTGAACCCCTCATTCACTTTCTCTGGCCACACTAGTCACTTTGCCATTCCTCCAGCCCTCCCCCCACCCGGGGGGAACACTTGTGTGCTTTAACACTGGTATTGGACTCCTCTCTCCCTCCCTCCCTCCCTCTGTCTCTCTCTGGAACAGTTTTCCTCCAGCAGAGAGTGACTGACTCTTCATCTTCAAGTCTCTGCCCCAGAGTCACCTACTTCAATGACCCTTCTCAAAAATCACTACCCACCAACCCCTATCCTGTTCTATATTTTTTTCTTAGCAATTATCACTTTGAGCAAAGTGTAGTTATTTATTTACTTATTTTGGTACTGGAGATTGAACCCAGGGGCACTTTAAACACAGTGCTATATCCCCAGCCTCCCCTTTTTAAAAAATATCTTTAGTTTTAGATGGACATAATACCTTGATTTATTTTTTATTTTAATGTGGCACTGAGGATCGAACCCAGTGCCTGACAAGTACGAAGCACGTGTTCCACCACTGAGTTACAACCCCAGCACCCCCAGCCTGTTTATATTTTTATTTATTTAATTTTTAAAAAATATTTTTAAGTTGTTGATGGACCTTTATTTTGTTTATTTGTATGTGGGGCTGAGAATCGAACCCAGTGCCTCACACACGCGAGGCAAGCATGTTACCACTGAGCCACAACTCCAGCCCCTATATTTTTATTTTTTAATTTAGAGAAAGGGTCTCATTAAGTTGCTTAGGGTCTCCCTAAGTTGCTGAGGCTGGTTTGAACCTGTGATCCTCCTTCCTTGGCCTTCCCAGCCACTGGAATTACAGATGTATGCCACCATGCCTGGCTTTATTTATTTATTTATTTATTTATTTATTTATTTATGGTACTGGGGATTGAACTCAGGGGCATTGGACCACTGAGTCACATCCCCAGTCATATTTTTATTATTTAGAGACAGGGTCTCACTGAGCACTTCACCATTGCTGAGGCTGGCTTTGAACCTGCAATCCTCCTATCTCACCACCCTAGTCGCTGGGATTACAAGTGTGGGCCACCACGCCCAGCCTATATTTATTTTTTTAATGTCTTTCCTCAATGAAATGTAAGCTCCAGAAATTCAGGGACTTTGATCTTTTTTTGTTCACAGAAGTATCCCAAGTACCTTGCCACATAGAAGTAAATATCAGTAAATATCTGTTGACAATACAAATAAATTGAAAATACAAAAGCTGAACCTGAAAATACTCTTTTTTTTTTTTTTTGTACCAGGGACTGAACCCAGGGGTACTTAGCCACTGTCATTGAGCCACATCCCAAACCCTTTTATAATTTTTTATTTTGAGACAGGGTCTCACTGGTGATTTTGAGTCTTCTGAGCCACTGGGATTACAGGCGTGTCTCACCACACCTGGCTGAGATTACCTCCTATTTACAGGTGAACTCTGAAAACAAAAATACTATTCATCTTGGTTTCCCAGGCCTTCCCCTCCACAGATGATGATGCTTCTCTAACTGACTGTTTTCTGAAGTGTCATACTGTCATGGGAGTCCCTGGAGCAGCCCCTACCCAGGCTGTAACCATCAGGAGAAATAGGAATTACTCTGTGAAGGAAGGGCTGGGGCAGGGCAGCATTTCAAATGTAATCATTTTGGTAATGATTAAGTTTTGCAACTTTCAATGAAATATGGAGGGAAAGAGAAAGAATGAGAGGTGTTGGGCACCTTCTCCCATAAAGTCAGGTGCCCTTGGTCAGCACCTGGAATTGCAGAGGCCCAGAGAAATGAATCACCTGAGCACAGCTGAGTTCCAGGGGTGGTGCTGAGCATTGTGACTGGGATGAGTCATCCACTTCCCTTGTCTCCTCCAGCATCTCCAAAAGATAAGCCGTACACCTGCCTGACATGAAACCATACAACCTGACCTTCTAAGCTATTCTACCTGTTCCTCGGGTCAGAGCAAAAACAATCCTTAACACCACTGATTGACTCTTCCCCGAATCATGAACCAGTGGTGTATGTAGGAAGAGATGACAGCTCTCCCTGAAATTCATTTGGGTTGACACCTTGATCAGGTGCTTTATTAAACAGTCATTAAAACCATGTGGCCAGGGTCCAATTACTGTATACTCTTTGAATTTATGGATTCAAGCTTCCTCATTGCTGAACACGTTTAGGCAGGTTCAGCAGCTCTATAGGCATCCACTTATTTAGGATATGTAAGTGGAGAGGCATGAACCTGATTCATTTCCTGATCTCACCCCAGGGAAGCTCTCCAGTTCACCCCCAAGCAGAAGCAGCATAGCTCAGATCGACTCTTAAGGAGTTAGCAGTGAGCAGAGGCTCTCAGAGGTCTGACAGCCCAGCAGAGTTGGATACAGCCTCAGCCCCCTGAACCGGAGTCACCACACAAGGACTCAGTAGGGAGGTGAGGCCTGCAGCAAGATACTGTGACATGAAAGGATGGAGAAGGAAGGATGGTTCTGACCAGATGAAGAACGAGCAGATGGACAAAGGAGGGACTCAGGTTAGGGGAGATGAGGATACATGGGGGTGAGGGAGGTAGAGTGAGGGACAGTGATGTTAAAGATGGAGGTATGAGATAGAAAAACAATGGGGACATGAGGATTTGGAGTTGGAGATATGGAGGGGATGAAACACAGTCACAGAAACATGAGGACACAGGGAGGATGAGGCCTGAAGAAGAGAAGGCAGAACAAAGAAAGAGAGGCAATGGGGACAGAAGGCTGGAAGGTAGGGAGACAAGGGGAATGAGGCCATAGATTTAGGGGATGGGGTCACAGTAGCTGTGGGCACACAGAGGGAGAAAAGGAGATGAGACAGTGAGGAAAGGAGACACAGTATGGTAAGCAGGGCCTGGGGGTGCACACCTGTAATTCAGTGGCTTGGGAGCCTGAGGCAGAAAGAATCACAAGTTCAAAGCCAGCCTCAGCAATTAAGTGAAGCCTTAAGCAACTTAGTGAGACTCTGTCTCAAAAATTAAAAGGACTGGGGATGTGGTTCAGTGGTTAGGGATCCCTGGGTTCAATCTCTGGTACCAAAAAAAGAAATAAAGAAAAAGAGAGACATGGTATGGTAGAGAGATTAGCTAGAATAAGCAGATAAAGGAAGGCCAGTATTCTCAACTGCATACTTCTGAATACCTCTGCTGTCTGTTCCTAGCAAACCCAGCCTTCCATCCTGACAGGTCCTCTCCGGAGAGATGACACCAGCCAGACCAGGATTCTACCCCCTGCTGCTACTCCTGCTGCTGGGACTGTGGGTACCTGAGGCCCCAGTCAGTGCCAAACCCAAGAACATGACCTCATCTCAGTGGTTTGAAACTCAGCACGTGCAGCCCAAGCCTCAAGCATGCAACTCAGCCATGGGTCACGTCAACAAGTTCACAAAACACTGCAAAAACCTCAACACCTTCCTGCATGAATCCTTCTCCAATGTGGCCACCGCCTGCCAGACCACCAACATAACCTGCAAGAACAACCATAAAAACTGCCACCAGAGCCCAGTACCTGTGCCCCTCACCATGTGTACACTCACCTCAGGGAAGTATCCGAACTGTAGGTACAAAGAGAAGCGTCTGAATGCACCTTACATAGTAGCCTGTGAACCTCCCCAGAAAGGGGACTCTGAGAAATTTCAGTTGGTTCCGGTGCACTTGGATGAAGTCCTTCAGGTTTCCAGACTTTCTGACTCTTTGGTTGGGTCTTAATTCCTTCTCTAGGCCTCTGCACCGATCCTCCTTGGCTCCTTCTCCACCTAGAGTGTTGTCTTCCTTTCATCTCTGAGGGCTCTTCCTGGTTCAGGCTCTTTGGAGAAGCTGACAGGGAGCTGAGGCTGATACATTGGTGGGCTGAGCTCCGAGAAGATGGTCTTTCATCTTTTTATTGCTGTTTTCTCAGAAACTTATCCCCAAGAGAGGGGCTGAGCAAACTCAGGTTCATAAGTTCCCTGGTCTATACCTTTAAACATCTCTCCCTCATCCCATCTTGTCATGACAGCATGATAAGAGAGGAAATAAATGGACAAGGGGTGAGTAGAATTTATAGACAGCTCTGTTTCCATTCCTAAAACAGAAGTCTTCCCAGCTCTGATGTGGAGGTCACCTGTATGGGGAGAGGGGGTCGGAAGGAAAGAGGAAGACAAAGAAATGCCACATGATATTTATATAACACGTCACACTTTTCACAATATATCCACAGGAATCCTGACAGGGATTGCTTGCCTCCTTTATGGATGAGGAAATTGAGATTTCAGAAGGCTTAATCAATTAAAGAGCTTGTCTGATTGGTTAGAAGCAGCACCTGGAATTGAAAATTGATGTCCTGAATCTCAACACAGTGCTACTAAACCGACTGGGTACAAAAGCAGACCAATATAGGTACAAGAGGAGAAGTAGGTTAGAGTTCACCCATGCCGAAAGGAGTACTGAGAGTCCTACAGAGCCAGTTACCCCGTGTTGGCTGCAATCAAGGTCATTACCTCTCCAGCCAAGAGATCTTTTTATAAGGTGCCCAGGGATCTTGATTCATTCTCCCTCTCTAACTGCCCCTCCCCCTTCTCTAGCCCACTGCTATTCTGACCTGGGCTCTGGGCCTGGTTTCTGGGTAGATCCCTTTGGCCTGAAGGCACAGGGTAAGGAGAGTGTCCCAGCTTCATCCCTCTGTTCTGGGATCACATTTCCCTTGACCTTAAGGGACTTCCGTGGCCCAGAGCCTGCTTGTCACAAACAGCCTGGTGGAGCTGCCAGAGCTTCCTTCCTCGTGATAATGATCTCCCTGCCTCAGTGCTTCCCTGGCTCTCCGGGCTGGCAGCCTGCCCAAGACTGAGGGGCTGAGATGTGGAAATGCCGCCTCCTTGTCCCCCTTGGCTGCAGCCACCATTGCTGCTTCTAGTGAACAGAGCTACAGAAGCTCTGGCTTTATATTGGCTCAGTCCTAAAAGCCCCTTCTGCATTGCCTGCATCCCTGACCATTACCAGCCCCTTCTCTCTTCCTTCATCACTGTCCCAAACAAACTGCACTGTGTCCCCTGCCCACCGTGTTTCAGACCCAATCACACTGCTAGACCTTCCCAGCCCTGTAGAGGGTTCTACTCATCCCTCCCCAGCCCTGCTCCACACACTCCTAACCAGAACCCGAAAAACTTTGGGTCCTGAAAGAAGTGGGTGTAAATCCTTTCCCAGTTGTTCCTGGCTATGTGACCTTGAGCAAATTACTGAACATTTCTGCAGGTCTGTCCACAAAGCAAAGTGGGAAAAGTTCTATCTACCAAACAGGATTGCAGGAAGATTTAGAAGTGATATTTAAGAAGCTCTTAAATGGGTAATGGCAACGAGTCATAGTGGTGATAGTAGCAATATCCACCTTTGACAAATAGCAGACCAGGGCAAATACCCCATGCAAGTCTCCCAAGGACTTTATTCTACTAAAGTGAAGCCCATGCATGGGTTAGAGGATGAGCCCTGAAGCAGGGTCCTGCTAGAGACCAGGGAGAAGGTAGAAGGAGGATGATCAAAAGAAAGGATAGGCTGGGCGAGGTGGTGTACACCAATAATCCCAGTGGCTGGGAAGGCTGAGACAGGAGGATAGCAAGTTCAAAGCCAGCCTCAGCAACTTGGCAAGACCCTAACCAACTCAGTGAGACCCTGTCTCTAAATAAAAATATTAAAAAGGGCTGGGGATGTGCTCACTGGTTAAGTGCCCCTGGGTTCAAGCCCTAGTACCAAAAAGAGAGAAAGAGGCTGGAATAATTACAGCCTTGGGGAACAGAACACTGAACAATTCAGACAGAATGTGAGGCCAGTAAGTTGAGGAGTTAGCCTTCACAGGCTGGAAAGTAGAGGAGCACTAACTGCACATTGTGGCCAAATGCCACACAACTGAGTGTGAAAGTCTCTATTTCCTGGAAACAGAGCATTGCCATCCTAGAATGGGCTTCTGGAATACTCACATAAATCTGAAGTTTCATCCTAAATCCTTATTTTGTAGTCTTGTAGTCACCATACTATACATTTATCATTCTAAATAGATAATTTGCAACTAAAATGCATAAAAAGACAAGATATTTGTGGGCACCTGAGTTTTTTTCTCTTCGTTTTATTCTTTTTTCACATCTCTTTTTATATTCTTTACTGATGCTTGTTCTTATGGATATTATAGTTTTGTATATTGACATCCTCCTTACAAAATTTTGAACTTGCTAAAATTATGCTTTCAGTGCACCCTAACAGAATGAAAAGACATTCAATTGGGGCTGGGGATGTGGCTCAACCAGCGCGCTCGCCTGGCATGCGCCGGTCGCTGGGTTCAATCCTCAGCACCACATAAAAATAAAATAAAGATGTTGTGTCCACCAAAAACTAAATAATAAATATTAAAAAATTCTCTCTCTCTCTCTCTCTAAAAAAAAAAGACATTCAATTGGACTTCTTTCTTGACTCACTATCTAAATACTATTAAACACTTTAAAAGAATTCTAAATGGGGCTGTAGTATACCTCAGTTGTAGAGCACTTACCTAGCATGCACAAGGTTCTGGGTTTGATCTCCAGGAACACACATGGGTGCACACAGTGTGCACTCATGCAAAAAACAAAAGTTCTAAGGTAATCTGTGGTGACAGAGGCTGGAATAATTACAGCCTTGGGGAAGTACTAACTGGGAAGTGGTATGGGGGTGTCTTCTGAGAAGCTGGAGATTACAGTGTGAAAACTCATTGAACTGTACACTTAAGATCTATGTGCTTTAGTTTATGGAAGTGAATTAAAATCCTCCAAAATACATAGCTATTAAGGATTCTTAAGGGTGATTTATTTACATGATAAATGCTAATACACCACTGTATTCTAAAAAGGTTATCAATGGGGTGCTCACACCTGTAATCCTAGAGACTCAGGTGTCTGAGGCAAGAAGATCAAAAGTTCAAGGCCAGCCTCAGCAACTTAGCAAGTTCCCAAGCAACTTAGCAATACTCTGTATCAAAATAAAACATAAAAAGGGCTGTGGATATGACTCTGTTGTTAAGCTCCCCTGGGTTCAATCCCAGGGACTAAAAATATAAAATAAAATATTATCATATAATTAAATCATAGATAGAATTACAACATAATTTCTATTATTCTTCCATGTGCTCTTCATTAAATTAAATAGCACTTGTATCATTTATTAAATTGTTATAAATACTTTGGGCTCAAGAAATACATAAAGTTCTTCCTCAGGTTATATAGCTAACATACTTTCCCCTATTATTTGTATTACCTGTGAACTAATTTTGTCTTTTTTGATTATGTGAAAAATTTTAAGAATTATTTTATATATAATATTATTATAGGCTTTTACAGCCATTAATTATTAAAATAATTTTTCTTTTCTTTTTTTTAATATTAGTTTTTTAGTTGTACACAATACCTTTATTTTGTTTATTTGTTTTTATGTGGTGCTGAGGATCCAACCCAGGGCCTCGCATGTGCTAGGTGAGCGCTCTACCGTGGAGCCACAACCCCTGCCAAAATAATTTTTCTTATAATAATAAATATGTATTTATACTTCCAGTTGATGACAGATTTTCAAAACTTTTAAAAGTTCATAAGGGGAATTTCACTCCAATATCTCACCAATAGTTGAAAGTGACACTTTGATGTTAACAGTGAATCCAAATGTCCTGCCTTGTTCTCAAAACTGCTGTTTTAGCTCATTGTATTTCACAGTTACCCATTCCCTCAAATGATCTTGATCAAAGTCAAGTTTAGCGATGCCAGGTATAATGTTGAAACAGGCATTTGGCTAGTGAAGTTCAAGATAAAAATAATTTGGGCCGAAAACCCAGGTTGGCTGAACCTCGATGCATTCTTACTTGAAAGTTAAAGAATGGAGGGGAAAGTTAAAGAAATGAAAAAGTAGACTGATGAGTTATGAAAGATTTCTGTTTCAGGGGTGGGATCCTGGAGGTGGGTGGAAGACAGGGGATCCAGGGGACTGAGACCCACCCTTGACTAGATAATTTTAAAGAAAATTGTTTCAATCTGGATCCAAGGAGCATAAATGAAGTCCAGTAAAGAACATAACCCTAGAAGTAGAGCAGAAGTGAGCTGGCTTTCCTAGGAAAGCAACTAACTATCTGAGACAGATTAGGTAGGAGACTTCTACAGCTCCTTAATTCCCAGAAGTCTCCACATACTGCAGTAAAAGAGCCATTGATACTATGAAGAGAACTAACAGGATGAATGTAAAGAGAAGGCTTCTGACTGAAAGGACAGGGTGTCGAAAGAGGAAATGCCCTTGAAATTGGGACTCTTCTCTTCACATTGATTTTTTTTTGGCCCTTTTTATGTTGTCAGTGGCTCCAGGAGAGAACACTTGAGCTATGGTAGCAAAAAGCGCACCAGTAGCAACACCCGGGGGTTTCTCTTTGGGAGAACTTTGACCCATTTCACCACATTTCTTCTGAGCTCCTGGATGACTGGGTTTCAAAGTGCTCAAAGACTTCAGATTCTCATTTTAAAGTCCTCCTCCTTCCCCCATTCCACCATCAAGAAGCAAAAAGAGGGCTGGGCTTGTGGCTCAGTGGTAAAGCCCTTGCCTAGCATATGTGAGGCACTGGGTTCCATCCTCAGCACCACATGAAAATAAATAAATAAAGGTATCATATGCATCTACAACTAAATATATTTTTAATTAAAAAAAAAGAGGCAGAAAGAAGGGCAATTACAACTTTTGCCTAGGTGTTTACCTCTGGGAGACTCCAAAGCCAGTAGCTTGTAGCATCCATGAAACCACAGAAGCATGAGAAAGCCCACATGGCTAGAAAGCCCACAGTTTACAAAGGAGAGGTAACAAAAGATATCACCATAATTAAAAAATATATACACTATGACAGAAATGCCTCTTAACTTAGGGAGGTGGGAGTTTCCTCATCCATAGATACCACCTTTCTAAGAGTATTATATGGATTAAATGCAATAAGGCATATGAAGCACTTAGTGGCTGGCTTGTAGGGAAAGTTGGAGAAGCATTAGCACTTTTTAATAATGTATTTATTACCATGGTGTCAAATGTGGAGAGGTCAAACCTGTGATGAGAGGAGTAGGCCCAACTTCTAGGCAGAACAAAGGATTGAAACAAAGTAAGCCAAATACCTCTTCATCGTCCACTTGCCCGAAAATCTCCTATTCAAAAAAAAAAAAAAGTAAGTTTCAAGATCAGATACAAAAAGACAATATGCGTTAATTTTTCTAGGTAAGATCATTTTCAGAGGTTGAGGGTGCATTCAATGGGAAAGGGGAAAAATGTCTATCAAGAATTTCTGTTGGGCTGGGGATGTGGCTCAAGCGGTAGAGCGCTGGCCTGGCATGCATGCAGCCCGGGTTCGATCCTCAGCACGACATACAAATAAAGATGTTGTGTCCGCCGAAAACTAAAAAATAAATATTAAAAAATTCTCTCTCTCTCTCTCTCTCTCTCTCTCTCTTAAATTTTTTTTTTTCTTTTAAGGCCTGGGGATAGAGCTCAGTTGGTAGAGTGCTTGCCTCACATGCACAAGGCCCTGGGTTCAATCCCCAGCATTAAAAAAATAATAATAATAAAATTTCTGTTAAGACAACTTTACTTAAGAGAAGTTTTTCTTAGCTCTGCCCTCCATAAATCCAAGAATCCAAAGATATGAAAAGAAGTCAGGAGACTGAGGGCCACTAATTTTTGATGGTACCCTCTGTGACCACTCCTATCCAAAGGGTTCAATTATCATAGCAATTGATGGAGAGCAGGCTCTGATGACATTTACAACTTCCCCTCCTGAGATATTTAAGCCTTAAGTGACTTTAGTATCCGCTCACCTCCATCATGAAAGACCATTTATATTTTTCTCTCCCTCTGATTCAGCTCCATTTTCTAGATCTTTTATTACTAAAACTCTCCACCAATGTTCATGGCTCATGATCCTCCACTGCTTTCCAATCGATAAATAACTTTGGGAAAACATCATGGTCATTACTTTCTATAGCTTTTACATGAAAACTTAATTGAACCTACACATTTAAAACATGACCTAGCATGAATTTGTATAAATTCTTACTTGGGCCATGGCATTTGTCACAAAATGGAATATCACATCTGCATGGCTTGAGACTCTTTTAGTAGATAGTCATAAAATTATGATGTTGCAAGATGTCTTGTCTAGTGACTCAGAAATTATCTAATTCTGCCTTTCTCATTTAGAAAATGAGAAAAATAAGACACAGTTAACTTAAACATGTGCCCAAGATTGCATGACTAGTTTAGGCAAGAATTTAGATTTTTAAAATTAGTCTAGTGATGTTTCCAAACTGGAACTCTAATTAATGATCCCAAATGGATTATTTCCCAAGGTCAAATTCACCATACATAGACAGCAAATCAATCTGCAAATGGGCAGACTCCCAGATTTGAGGGAAAAACCCTGCTCATCCAAAAGAGTGTTGAATGCCCATGATCCTGACATATTTGCACTTCCACCCTTCACCTGAATACTCCTATTGTATCAGTCAGAAGGCAAAGAAAACAGCACTCAAGGACTTGAGGACTGTGTTGGTCAGTTTTCATCACTGTAACCAAAATATCAGACAAGAGCAGCTCAGAGGAGGAAAAGTTTATTTTGGACTCATGGTTTCAGAGGTCCAGTCCATGATTGACCAGATCCATTGCTCTGGGCTGGAGATGAGATAGAACATAATGATGAAAGGGCATGCTGGAGGAAAGAAAGCTGCTCACTTCTTGGCAGCCTGGCAGCAGGGGGAGAGGAGTGTGGAGCCAGGTACAAAATATAATCCCCAAGACCTACTTCCTCCAGTCATGCCCCACCTGCCTTTAGTTACCACCCAGCAATCTATTCAGATTATACGTCGATTAGGTTACAGCTCATAACCTAATCACTTTACCTCTAAAAATTCCTTCATTGTCCTGTGAGCTTTTCAAGAGACATCTCATATCCAAACCATTAACAATGATAAACTAGTCAAGCATGACCCTGGCTATTTGAGATATAAATAAGGACATACAGCAAGAGTAACAGCCTTCACCTCCGTCTGCTACTCAAGGACAGAAAAAACCCATCTGGTAGTGCTCAAGGTGAGCCTGACACATCCTGAGGCATTTTATCTAAGGTAAGTGTCCCCATTCTCTATCCTCAAGGTTGGCATATCCAGTGTTCAGTTTTTGTGGTAAATCAGAGCGATGGTTCCCAGACTTTCCCCTGAAGTGCTAGCAATGGCAAAGGAAAATTAAATAAAATATCCAAAATCATGCCCCCAAAGCATGAGCTTTCCTTAAGTCTTTCTTTCATTTAAATAATATTTATAAAATAAGCTTATGCACGGATATCATAGATGTTGTCTTAAAATTTCACTTGTTATCATGATGAATTTGTGTTACTTTCCTAGTTTTCATAGCTGCACTGTGATTATGTATACAACAGTGCTTGTAATTAAGGAATAGTCCCTGAAGTATTAAGGAGTCATGGGTATCGAGTCTGTAACTCATTCTCAAATGGCTCATAAATGTCAGCAATTGGGGAATTGAGATGATGCATGTAGGGGAATTCTGTGTGCTATTTCTGAAACTTTTAATTTGAAATTATTTCAACATAAATATATTTAAAGTTGTAAAAATATATGTAATTTCTTTGAATTTTTGATATTCCCAAGCACACAGTTTTATTTTCTATGAATATAATATTTTAAATCACTTCCCATACCGCCGCCCTCAAAAAAATAGTTTAATTAAATATAGAAGGCGTTTATCTTGTGACTTTGTGTTTATCTGTGTTCTAGAGTCTGGGATAGGAGTACACTGGCCTTAATGAGGTCCTTCATATGATCTTTGTGGGTTTGTATCTCTGACCAATATTTCTCTTTAAGAATAAGGTGAGGCCAGGCACATCAGGCATAGAGGTACACAGCTATAATCCCAGCTGCTCAGGAGGCTAAAGCAGTAGATTCACCAGTTGGAGGCCAGCCTCAGCATCTTAGTTAGACCCTGCCTCAAAATAAGCATTTTTTTTAAAGGGCTGGGAATGTAGCTCAGTGGTAGAGCACTTGCCTAGTATGCACAGGCTCTGGGTTAAAGTCACACACACACACACACACAAAATGAGTGAATGAGGAAGATAGGCTAGTCATGGGAATGGTGTATTAGGAAAGTTCCTTGCATGCCAAAAAATGAGATGTAGGCATAGAGAATTTGGAATAGTGACTGAGACAAAGAAATCCCTTAGGAAATATTAGCTCTGATTGTTTTTATCATTGACATCATGGTCATCCCCGGGAGGTCTGAAGGTTGTGTGCAGTCTTGTAAATTAAAGGCTGCAGCAGGAATGTGAGGGTAGCCACATGTTTCAGCTCTGGTCAGGTTGAAGACTATGTCCTCTCCCTCATGAGGACAAATCCAGGAATCTGAAACAAAGGAAGACAGTCAACACATCGAGACAAGATCATGGTGGGGATGGGTACCTGAGAAAAACCCAAAGCATTGCAAAGTAACAAAAATAGATCTAGCAGGACAGGGACAATCATTGGGAAGAGAGTGGGACTCCCAGGAGTGTGGCAACTGGATTCCATGAGATGTAACTCTAAGACTCTGAGCTTATAAACCAGGGTCCAAGGTATTCCCATGAATCTTTAGAGCCAGGAACCCCTCTTAGAAGAGAATCCCTCTTAAAGGAATTTGTTATAACTTCTGGAAGCTTTGGACAAAACTTCTGCCTCAATCTGAGACTCACCTAACTTGCCTGCACTGATTATTGCCTCTTTGCCAAGATCTCAGATCCCAGGCAAACAGACAAGAGAAACAGACAAATCAGCCTGTTGTTCTCCAGAGCTGCTCAGGAACAGGACACTGACCTGAAGTCTTCACATGCTTCTGGTTTCTCTTTTGGCTTTTCCAACCCAAGGTTGCCTCTACAGTTTCCCAGACTTCTATACTGTTTGTATTACTGTTATCTATTCTGTCTTCTTTTCCCCCAATATATTGCTATATATGCTCACAAAGTAATTGGGAATGTAAATATAGCTGTTATGGTTTCAATATTAGGTGTCTCCCCAAAGCTCATGTGTGAAACAATGCAAGAAAGTTTAGAGGTGAAATGATTGGGTTATAAGAAGTTCAACCTAATCAGTGCATTAATTCCCTGATAGGGATTAACTGAGTGGTAACTTATAGGCAGAGAAGGTGTGGCTAGAGGAGGTGGGTCCCTTGGGGCGTGCCTTTGAGTTATATATTTTGTCCTTGCTGAGCAAAGCTCTCTCTGTTTCTTGGTGGCCATGTCCCCAGTTGCTTTCTTCTGCCACACCCTTCCACCATTTTGTTCTGCCTCGCCTCAGGTCCCAAGGAAAAGAGTCAGCCATCTGTGGATCTTTGAAACCATGAACCCCAAATAAATTTTCCTCCCCTAAAATTGTTCTTGTCTGGTCTTTTGGTCATAGAGGTGAAAAAGCTGACTAAAACGTACAAACTCGTTCTCATTTATGAATTAGCATTGCAATCGATGTTTCACAGCCAGAAAACAATGATGGGAGCAACTGGCCAGTTAAATGCCAGGACCATTGATAGGAGTAGATGCTTCTTGCAGTCACCTGTCCTGACCCCATGAAGTCCACCATGAATGTGTAAGTTGTTTGGCATAAATTTGGCTAAAAATCTCCTGTGCTGTGTCCGGAGAAACAGGACATTTGCCTCTGAAGTTAACCTTGATCCCTTCATTCAGTTTGGCTCTGTGTGAATTTTACTTCCAGCCTTCTGTAGCCCAGCTTGTCTCAGTCTTGGTGCCTCCAGAGAGCAGCAACAGCAAGGTGCTTCTCACACCCTATCATAAAGACCTTTAGCTTTCAATTTATCATAAGAGTTTTCTCACACATAATCTTTATAAATACATCCCATCATTGCCCTCTACTGGGGCAATGAGGTACCTAGAGCTAATTCTGGTTCTAAGCAGAGATTTGAAAAACATACACCCCACACCGCCCTCAGAAATAGCAGAGGAGTCTCCTTTAGAACCCTCCTTCCTGAGGTCAGTGTCTCCCTCCCAGGAGGCCTTTTAGAGGGTAAAGCCTGAAGAACCCTACTAGGGTAGCTCTAGTAGTTCAAAGATTGCGTTTTAGTAGCAGCATTGGTGCTGGTCTGCTTCACTCCAGTAACC